GGGGGGGGGGGGGGGGGGGTCGAAACGATCGCAAAGGCGGTATACTACGTATACGCGCCAATACGGTATGAAAGAAAGCCTGTCATCGCAAAACGCGGTTTCGAACCTTGGCCATCGATTTGCAACACATATCAATACCTGATAAGTCGTCTCGAACTTGAGACCTCAAATCCGTTTAAGCCCCCCCCCCTCTTTTTAAATAGACGGGGATGCCATTCAGGCCTATGACATAACTTCAGAAAGCTCAAGATCTAAGTGGATCGAATTTAGCAAAAAGGAACCAGCTCAATTACTGTGTTGTAAAAATGTCGCGTCTTCATGATTATCTAAAAAATCTCCCAGAATAGCAAATAGTTTTGGATTCCCATCAAAAAATTGTTGAATTTAAAGATAAATAATTTTGTAAATTTAAATACCGTAAATATATAAAGTATTTTCGAAAGAAAATGAGAAGTTGTACGTCTTTGAAAACATAAGTCATCGCGCTGGTTCGTTTTGCAGAATGCGATTCAAAAGTTTGAATTAAGTAGTTGCTTAAAATTTGTAATTCAAGAAATTGTATTTTTTAGACTCAGGAGTGAGATAAACATTTTAAACTTTATTAAGACTCTAACGGTTTTTGCGTTTATTCTGTCTAATTCTATACCCATATCTACGAAGGTTACTTGGTATAAACCACATTTAAAACTTACACTTTGCTCGAGGAACTTTTCGAAAATAAGTACGGCCGACTTGGCATCGGCGGCGGCGTATCTAAGAGCCTCAGGAGACAGAACAGGGCCGTCCCAATCGACTTGCCAAGCAATAAATTTTGGGAGGTCTATGTCACAGAGCCTCTTGGCTAGATAAGTCAAGCCTGATTTTGGGTATTTGTAGTGAGCTGCAATATGCTGCAGATCCAAACAGTTGGCAGTGTGCAGTTGGTAGTCGTGGAGCAGGCGGGATGTGTCGAGATGGATCGCCACGCCTACTTTTAGAACGTCGGTTGACTTCAGTAAATCCTGAAAAATGATGTAAGGTTCTTACTGGTTTTATAATTCGCGCTCATAAAATTTAGCAGAAATTGTTCTTGGATATCACTAAGAAGGATATAGCAGTGGATTGACCTAAACACATGCCTGCCTAGCTGTTGTTTTATTTTTCTCAACAAAATACTATGCCATAATGCGATATTCTGACTTGAAATTGTGTGAATTATTCGTTCTACCTAGGTACTATAGTGGAGAATCAGAGAAAGTTTCAATGTGTGTTGTTTTCGGTTCAGTCAAAAAACAGATAAAATGTGAAATGTGCATGTGAGATGAAGTCGGGCTGATTTTTGGTTAAACGTGTCCTGATTTGACCTGATCTTGTCCGATTTTCGTCAAACTTTGATTAATTTACGAGTCAAAAATATCTTATTATAAATGGATTGCATTTTGCAAAAAGGAACCAAGACCATTCCAGTGTCGCTAAGTATGTGCAACAATTTTTACCTTGCGAATATCTATAAACAGATCATCTAAACAAGTGTTATCTTTACTATCAATAAACTATAAAATTCACGACGAAAATTGGCGTGGTGAATTTAATTTTTCGCATGATATCAGTAATTTTATTGTGATGTATCTAAGTTGCAAAATCCTAGCAACATTGAAATGCTCTTGGTTCCTTTTTGCAAAATGCAATCCATATATTAGTCGATGCACCGTCAGAATCATGCCGGAATCACACGCTGAATTTGGCAGCTGAATACGAGAATTCAACAGTTATCGCTCAACGGCTGAAATTTTGCATGAGTTATTTTCATCCAGATTTGTATCAAATCTCTTCGAATCGTTCAGACAAATTCGACATTATCCGATGGTCGCTGAGCCTCGTTGCTGAATTGTGAGCGACGAGCGTAAAATTCAGGCATCGGACCGATGACTTCCACATTCAAGACACATTCAGCTCCCACTTTCAGCGTGTGATTCCGGTGTCATAGGTAGTTAGCCTCTCTTTTACGAGTTTCCGTTAATAATCGTGAAACAAGAGTTGCAAAATGGGCGCTAGATCTTTACTGGTCACCAACCCTTACTTATCCCTTACTTTGATTCGAATTAAGAAAATTTGCCAGTCTAGATTATCGTCTGTGAGGGTAATTATCTGCCGCAGTCGGATGATGAAGGTCGGGCCATCCTTGGTGGCAAGTTGCAGAATGGCCACAGGATTTCTGATGTTGGGCTGCTTGGCAGCACTGAGCAAGGGGTTGCTACTCCGTACTTCATCTATCTCTTCACTCAACAGGCTCGGTGCTTTTGATTGTGTCCACTCACAATCCAACCCAATCACTGGAAATTTCCTGCTTACCCTTAACATAGAAATATCCGAGATTATAAACATTGGGTATCACGCTGAACAAGATCTCGTCACCTTCCGGCCAAAGTATCACAAGTGCCGTGTGACGTTTAAAAATTTCCGCCCCCATTTTATTTTTTACCGAGAAATTTTTGCTTGAATCTGTCCGAAAATTTCACTGAATTTAATCGACAGCACAAAGAAAATTCAGTGAAATTTTCGGACAACTTCGTTGAACAATTTATCTGTGAAAATGTAAAATAGCGGCGGAAATATTTAAATGTCGCATAACACTTGTAAAATTTTGGCCGGAAAGTGACGATCTAAAAAAATTCCCCCATTATATGACCTATAATGTATGCACATGCAATATGTCTGCTGGACTATTTTAAGCATCATTGTCGCACCCTTTTGACGTTAGAGCATCGCGTATGTATACCTGCATTTTAAAACAAGCCCTGACGTGCGTGTAGTTCCATCCTTTCCGGGTCTTGTGCGGTAATCCAGGATTGCGCAAAAGGTCTAAGAAAATATATGAAGATTGCGCGAAAAAGGCACAAAGATTGCGCGAATAGAAACCTTAACATCTGCTACAGGAATGGGCGAATTTGAAATGAAGTTTATTTAAGGTAGAAGTTTGGCAAAACAGGAAACGGGTTAGAGAAAAAATGCATTTTTATGTTAACGCTAGTTTAGGTTAGTTTGTTGACAGGTCATCAATGCATTACCTTCAGACGCTCAATGAAGTGAAAAGATTGTATAATGAATGGTAGTGGGTATAATGAATTTTCCTAACTTCTCTCGGAAAAAATCTTTAATCGGGAAAAACGAGGCAATGTTGGAATGCTCATACGGCGTCGAAACACAACAAATAGGCCCTATAATTTGATGCAGCGATTATTATAATGCGAGTTAGAATAATCGTGCCAAACACAGTGCAGCCAGCGTCAAACGTATATTGGCGCCTGCAAGACTTCAGGAATACCTCACGCATTGCGCCAAATAGTGCGGTCGGCGCAAAGCCCATAGTAGCGCCTACAAGACTGCATGAATACTTCTCGCATTGCGCCAAACGCAGTGCAGTCGGTCAGTTGGCGAGAAGCGCCTGCAAGACTGTAGGAATGCTGTAGGACTGAGTGTAATCATTCTTGACTTTCTGTTCCCGATTTTACCATAATTAAATGGAAAATATGTATCCTCTTTGTAGCGATTCGGAAACTCGGATGATATTCGATATTTCCGGAAAATTCGCGGAAAATTTTCAAAAAAACTGTTAGTAGCTTTTTAAAAACACGTATTAAAAATAAAGCATAAAAGTGGTGCATAACCTTGCAATCAGAGATAAATATTCGCGCAATTATGTGGGTTTTCTGCACCAGAAAAATTCGCGTAATCCTATGCATCTCTAAAAGGATAAAAAAGGGGCCATTCGCGCAATCCTATATCGTAACCCTTAGGTGGCACTAGAAATTCCCATGTTCGTTAGAGGAGCGACGTTGTATCAGAAAGCTCTATAATGCAAAATTAAAGATGATCCTTGAATAAATCGTTCTAATAGGTCCGCAAGTAACACTAACAAGATACAATCTCGATGAATGGAAATTCTTTCTTATTTCAATCTACAAAATTTTGGGTAATGCTAACTAAGGGGCTTGAAGGACGAGGCGCATAAGTACAGTTTTTGAAAAAATTTATGTTGATTTCAAGTAAAACTAGTCTAAATGCATATTCTATGAAAAATTCGCTCCCTTTCAGTCTTTAAGCATCAAAAAGTCAGTTTGAACTTTTTTTCCGTCATAAAGATCCATATAATTTCGGAACTTCAAACACGTTTTTTCGAAATACCAAAAAGTGCACTTATGCGCCTTGTCCTCCAAGCCCCTCAACCGGAATGTTGTTAATGATTAGGATTCCGAGTACCGGAAGATTTGGAGTCGTTTGAGGGCATAGTAGTCCCGAGTCTGATCAGGCACGTAGCCAAGGGGGCTTGGGGGCTTGAGCGCTCAAGCCTCCCTATGGCCTATGATCTGATCCAGGGTTAAACGGTCAGACTGCAGGAGCGTGTTCTTTTAGGTCAAAACAAGACTTTTTTGTTGTATAAGGTTTTTTCCAAAAGTGCCCCCGGTAGGAGCTACGGTCCTCCCAAAATTTCGGAAAGTAAATAGTTTTTCCTGAATTTTGGCAACGGTTGAGAACAAAACTTCCTGAAAATTTGTTCCCTCCTGTATTTTTATACCCTGAATTCATAAATGATCCAAAAAAATTCGGAATCTCAATTTAAAGAGGGGGTTTGGGGGTGTTTAGGCTCCAGCAGTCTGTCCGTCAAACCGTGGATCACCCTGTACTAGAGGACTTTTGTACGCCCAAAAATCTGAGAGGGCAGGCCCCCCAAACTCGGCCAAGCCCAAACCCTTAAACGAAAACCTGCCCACGGGCCTGAATTTGAGTGAGAGGTATTTTTACCATCGTTGTGCCCTCTTCCTCTCTGCTGTCTTATCCTTCTCCAATGAACTTTGATCACTACAAGTGAATGAAACTCACCGGAAAAACTCCATGAGCTTTTTGCACGCTTTTTTTGGGTTGAAGTTTTCATCGATAAGAATGTATGGCTCCTCGCTCTTTTTGCCCGAGCTAGAACTCATAATCGTGATAATTTCACTAAGTAACCACTTCTGCTTGCACCAAAATTAAAGATTTAACGAAAACGGACGACCTGTCAATTGAACGTCACATGTGTTTGTAACACGTGACTACAGATAAGGAGAGTTCATTGATGAAAAGATAAGAGGGCCTACTCCGTGCCGTACACGCGGTAGCAAATGTTTTCTCGAATTATTAGTAGAGGGATAAATATTATGCTTGAGAAATTGACGGTGAAACTGCAGAAACGTGTATCTCATTACGGTTTTTTAAAATCTCCAATCTAATTTCATTTTTAAAGGATAACAAACAAACAAACAGAATTTCTTGAAATTTTCACAAAATATCATCATCATTCATTGACACTTTAATCGCGGAAATTCTCAAGAAACGACTTTGAGAGGTTTCCCATTAGACGAATGAGTATGACAGGGTGTCAAAAAAGTTGTAAATTGAGATGTGTGCGAGTTTTTTCAGTTTCACCGTCAAAATCAGTTTTTATCTTTTTCCAAAGTATGCAAGTCGATACATTTGAAGAATGTCAGAGTTAGGGGAGTAATAAAGTGAAGTTTCTGAAAAATTAAAGCTATTAGCAATCACTAAGAAAAAAATCCGCCAACATATGCTTGTTACGCCATGAAACTATATTAAAAAGTATGCGGCGAGGATTGGGGCCTAGAGGAGAGGCGATTAATTATAGGGACAGAAAACGCACTCGACGTGTTAAAAAGTGTTGTTGTTATTTTATACATTTATTCATAGGTGCTTCATAGAAAGTAAAAATAGATGTTGATAATCTTACGCCCACCAAAATGAGCCCAAAAAAGCCAAAATACTTAAAAAAATTTGAGCGGTTACAGTGCAATGGGTGATTGTTTTACATAAAACTTTCCGCCCGAAAACAAATTTGTGACCATTTTCGAGTGAGTAAAATTAAACTTTGCACCGTTGTATTGCATGTACAAGTACATGTACGCATCTGTGGATCTCATCTCTTCTACTAGTAACAATACGCGCTATGCTACGCTGGTGTCTGCAGACTGATCAGGCCTCGCGCAACCATTTCAACTCTCCGGAGATGATATTGCATACCCGACGAAATGAAGGAATTTTAAAAAGATCCGGTGGTTCGTGCTTCACCTCACCGTCGCTATTGAAGCTGCACGCTGTATCATTGGCGCAAGCTTTTCCTTACCACGAGCAACTACACGGGATAAATTTAATTTCTGATTTAACGATTCAATTGCTAAAAAAAAGTGACTACATCGTTTCAACGTAGATTTAACAACAAAAAAAATGCTACAATAACCACTGTTGTAAGCTGATTCAACCACAAGAGTGGATAAAGTAGCATTTTTTTTTCGTTGTAAAAACTACGTTGAAACGTTGCAGTCACTTTTTTTAGCAATCGGATTGTTAAATCGGCAATTTAATTTTTTCCGTGATATTTCAACTCTCCGTAGATTCAATTGCATACCTGAGGAAATGAAGGAAATTTAAGTGAGTCTTTTGACACGAGGCCATCTCTTTTGACCTTCGCCATCGTGAAAGTATCGTGCTATGCTGCCGTGCTAAAGAAGAACGCCGTAAGAACATTCGAGAGTTGCCAAATTTCCTTCGATAAAGCATTTAGTTTTGAGGAAAGTTAATGATATTTTTCCTTGAAATTTTCAGGAACTTTAGGAGAAATTGCGAACAAAATTAGCTGAAAAATTGGAAGGAAAATGTTCAAAAGTTTACCAGGAAATTTGTGTTTTATCAAAGGTACTTTGGTAATGTCTGAAGGTTCATACGGCGTTTTTCCTTAGCATGGCAGTATGGTAGAGAAGTGTAGCCTTTGACAAAGTGAACGCATGAAATGTTGAGGGCAATTGATATGGATTTTGGCGGCGATATGTCGACATCTCGAAACGGAACCGTGTCCGTAGGTAATGAAAGAATTCGCCTGGTGATGAAGTTTAAAAGAGATATAGTGCATACATTTTTGAAGTCAAATCTAAAGTATTCTTGGAGGGTAGAATTTCAGCTTAAATTTTTTATCTCGTATTGTAGAATATATTTTGTGGTTCTTTTATTTTGCTTGTTTTGTTTAACGGCTTCTTCAAGGTTTTTAAGTTTAAATAGTGTACATCTTTTGAAACAGTCTCGAACTAGCCCTCTATTGTCAATTGTATATTTATAAATATTGTGATCTAAAGTTGTAATAATTTTAAAATAAATGTTAAGTAAGTGTTTATTATTTCTAGGGTTTGAAATACCTCAAACATCTACCTGTTTTCAAATTCAGTAATTCTATCGACCTAGTACTAACTTAAATATGATAAAAACAGCCAGTAATATAACGATAATGTTCATAATCAGGATTAGCTTATAAAATGACATTTTTGGATGCGATTTGGTGTTTTCAGTCTCAGTTGCACTTGTTCTATATTCCATGTTTCTGTCGTCATCTTTTTGGTTGTGTAGCGCCAGTCTCGAAGGGCTTGCATGTATTGGAGGTAAAATAGTGGTGCTATCTGCTTCTACATCTGCTGTGTCCCCTGATGTGTCGGCTTCTCCATCTTTTATTCTAAAAATATGTGAAACATATTGAACACTGCATGAGAAAAACTGAGCCAGTAAAAAGTTATTTATTTATGAATCCTAAACATCATTAATTACTTACTTTATTTTATTCATCTGCTCAACCAATGGACTGCAATAAAAACAAGTTGCATGGAGTAAAATCTTGAGGACATGGTCCTCATAATAATAAAAACTCTAATATATGATCAACTATCAAAAACACTGGTTTCCTAGCTTTGAGACCTTAAAGAGCCTCAAGAACCAACGTAATTGAGCTTATCTACCTCTCAAATCACTAGCATGTGGGACCAGTCAATTATTTTGAAGACTTGCGAAAGACTGTGACTGAAGTCACGGGCTCACGGGTCCAGATGCATAAATTCTAATTATAATAATTGGTTTCTTAATTAATTGAGTAATTTACAGGAGTTCACCAGGACAATCAACCGGGATGATTTCAATCGACATAATTTAATCACAAAATAAAAATTAGCGAATGTTTTTTATTTTTTGTTGATTGAATGTCGATCGATTCTCGGTTCATCAACTTTGATTGTTTCTTGTCGATCTCTCATTCTTTTCAACTCTATTTTCATGTTCTGCTCCATTCTCTTTTCTTCTTGGATCTCTTTTATTCTTTTTTTCTCCTTTTTACTTTCCTTCCTCTTTGTCTTTCTCTCATCTTCTTCCTCCGTTTTTCTCCTCGGTCATTCTCTTCTTGATTTTTTTCATTTCTTACTTCTATTCTTTCTCTTATTTTCATCTTTTTCCTCATTTTTTCTCCTTCTTCCTCTTCTCTTTTCCTACTCTTTTCCTCGACTCCTTCCTTTTTTCTTCTCCCTCTTTTCCTCTTTCTCCTTGTTTTCTTCCCTTTCTCTTCATTTCTCCTGTAAGCAATTATTCCTCTTCTTCCCCTTTCTTTCTTCTTCTTCCACCCCTCCTTTCTCTTTTCATCTTCTTCTTCTTTGAAATTAATAATTTTCAAAAACTGTAAGACAGTGGCGCACCAACGTGAGTGACGGTTTTATGGTAAAAGGTAAATCCGCTTGAACCCAAATTCAGCCTTCATACGACAGGAAGGCACACCATCAAAAAATTTATTTTGAAATTAATCATTAAAAAGAGAAAGAAAGAGCTACTGGAGTTACTAGATATGCGAATGTAATTTCGTAGGATCAGTTTTTAAGGAGGTCCCCCTGGTCCCCACTTTAAAAGCAGCTGTCATTGAATAATGTCTCACGTAAACTCTGTTATGGCACTCACCATACACGATACTCTGTTGAGTAAAAAATGCTCGCTCTGAATTATAGATTTCCACCAAGTTTCGGCCATTCTCCCCGGTTGCCGTTACACTGAAAAAATGGTATGCTGTTTCAGCATCTAGGATGTCAAAAATGTGTCAGGTGATCCTAGGATGCTGCCTTGATTGCCTGCGCAGTTGAATTTGCATTCACAGGATGTAAAGTTAATTGCAGGGGCAGTAAAGGCAATATCTTTGGATCACCAGACACATGTTTGACACCCTAGATGCTATAACAGCATATTATTTTTTTCAGTGAAGTGGCGCGACGCTTCCTCACTAAAATTTTGAGAAAGGGGGATCGCCTGATTCCCTCCCGGGTCCCGAATCCTTCCCAACTGTGAGGAAAATAGAAACACTGCCAACCCCAAGTACCACAGTGCAACGAAAATATTGAAATTCAATTGCAATGATTTCAAAGGAATTGTAATTTTTACCATTGAATTGCAATATTTTTACATCATCTAGTCGATTTATGCCGATTTTAAACAATCAACAAAATGAGCATCATGTGTCAGAAAGACATGTAATATGCAATGCGATGAAGATTTGCAACTTATTTCAATTTTATTGCAATAAGTTTCAATAAATGGGGCCCCTTCAAAGAGGAGCTAGGCAACATACACAACACTCAGTGGAATTGCAATATTTTTACTATACTATTGCCACTTATTGCAATCTGTGCTACTTGTTACGTCCCAGCAATCATGATCAAGAACGCTGTTCTGCTGTGCTAAGGCGCTGATACGTGAAATTTTTTACTTTCAATGACAAATTCGCAAAAATTTTCCCTTAAAAATACACGACTTATCCAGGAAAATTTGGCAACCCTTGAATGTTAATTCGACGTTCTTCTTTAATATGGTAGTGTTGGTGTCTGGCGTCGTGAGCCAAGGGGTGTTGTACACTGTTACACAATCACACATATCACTCTTCCGCCTTCAATTTTCAAGGTAGGCCAGGAGACATTCTATAAGGAATGATAATGGAGTTCTTGCATGTATGATTCAGGAATTTCATTTCTATTTAAATACTGATACCTATGTAAAATTTTGTGAGAAATTCGATGGTGCCACTTGTTTTCTCTGAAAATAACCCCAAAACTCGAAAAAAGCACTTAAAGTTGAAACAGTAATGGAGGGGATATTCTACCCTACCCTGAGAGTCCACCTCTATATCAATACTAACTCTCTATGTACAGATATAACTTTGCGCGAAAAGTAAGTTCCGTAAACCTATTTCTGTGGGACAAGGCCTTTCATTTATGAGAAATGAACGAACCAACATGAATGTGGTCTAATCATTTTAATTTCTGCCACCGCGCCAACCGCATTGTATTTGGCGCAATGTGTGAAGTATTCATGCAGTCTTGTAGGCACCATGAGTTTCACGCCAACCGCTCACCGCACTACATTTGACGCAATGCGTGAAGTATTCATGAAGTTTTGTAGGCGCTAATATGTGCTTTATGCTGACCGGCGCGCCGAGATCTTTACTTCTCCTTTTCATCTCAAGTCTCCGTCATAATTACTCTCTGCGCAGCGCCGCTCCAGGACAAATTGCGTGTTTGGTTCCTCTCTCAACTAGACTGATGAAATGCTCTGTGTCTTGCATCACCGAAAGACGAACAAATTAGAAATTACTATACTCTCAGGAAATGAGAGATTTTGTCGCCTTTCTCGATTGTAATTTTTTTTTCTGAATCCATTTTTGTTTTTGATACCTACATTTGAAAAAAGGCAACATTTGCCGCCCCCTAAATTTGCTGCCATGGGCCGCGGCCCATGTGGCCACCCCGTAAATCTGGCCCTGATGGCCACGGCACTGCAGCAGAGCTTCCCGCCATGCATATAATTTTTTAGAACCCGAACTTGGATGTTCGAAAAATGGCAAATGATATCAACGCACAGTGGAGCGAGTCAAAACACGAGGTCGGACTAAATTTGGAAACTTCAAACGCTTATAACTCCATTCATACAAAAAATTGACGTTGTAAAATTGACTCCATCGGGTTCCTATTGAAATTTTCTACGGTTAGCACCCATCGGAAAATAAATGTTACAAAATTAACATCCAAATTTGATATTTTAGTAAAAAATTTCATGCTCGACCTCTCAAATTGACTCAATCCACTGAGCGACGGCAGCATTCCGCAACCTCGTATCTCGTTTGCAGTGCTTGGTTATTTCCGATCCTATTTCATTTTTTTAATGGATATCAAAGTGACAGCATTCTTTGAAGTTTTCAAAGAATTTTCTTCGCACAGTAGACTTCTGTAGATACAGATTGTAGCTAAAGGTGATCTGGATTTTCCAGGGATCCTTGTTGCCAAAGAGCCCGCTATAAACTCGGTGAAGTCCCAATTTTCACGGTTGGCAGCAGTCGTCCTCGTCGGAGGCGGAAAGCGCGGATACAGGGTGTTCCAAATGATCGACCTGCACGCGCACGGCTCACCGATGCTTTGTTCGAATGGGGGCGGCAGTTTGTGATTGGGGAATTCCCAAATTGCACGGTTGGCATCAGTCAGCACTGATCGAGAAAGGAAGCGATGATACAGCGTGTTCCGAAAACCAATGTAGAAGATTCTTGGATGCTTGCTGCCAAGAGAGGCACGATTTAATTTCAGTGAATTCTCAATATGCGTGATTGGCAGCAGTCATTCGGAGTAAAGGAGAGTGTGTAGAGACAGAGTGTTCCTAAAGGTAATCTGGATTTTCCAGGGATCATTGTTACCAAGGAGCCCCCTATAAACTCGGTGAAGTCTCAATTTTCATGGTTGGCAGCAGTCATCCCAAAAATAGGAGAGCAAGTCGATACAGCGTGCTCCTAAAAGTGATCCCAATCTTCCGCGGATCCTTGTTCCGAAGGAGCCGGTATTGACTTGGTGAATTTCCAATTTTCACGGTTGGCAGCAGTCGTCCCCGTCAGAGGCGAAAATCGCGGATACAGGGTATTCCAAATAATCGACCTGCAAGTGCACGGCTCATCGATGCTTTGTTCGAATGGGGGCGACAGTTTGTGATTGGGGAATTCCTAAAATGCACGGTTGGCATCAGTCAGCACTGATCGAGAAAGGAAGCGATGATACAGCGTGTTCCGAAAACTGATGTAGAAGATTCTTGGATGCTTGCTGCCAAGAGAGGCACGATTTAATTTCAGTGAATTCTCAATTTTCGCGATTGGCAGCTGTCATTCGGAGTAAAGGAGAGTGTGTAGATACAGAGTGTTCCTAAAGGTGATCTGGATTTTCCAGGGATCCTTGTACCAAGGAGCCCAATATAAACTTGGTGAAGTCTCAATTTTCATGGTTGGCAGCAGTCATCCCGAAAATAGGAGAGCAAGTCGATACACCGTGTTCCTAAAAGTGATTCCAATCTTCCGCGGATCCTTGTTCCGAAGGAGCCCAGTATCGACTTGGTGAATTTCCAATTTTCACGGTTGGCAGCAGTCGACCCCGTCGGAGGCGGAAAGCGCGGATACAGGGTGTTCCAAATAATCGACCTGCACAGGCTCATCGATGCTTTGTTCGAATGGGGGCGGCAGTTTGTGATTGGGGAATTCCCAAATTGCACGGTTGGCATCAGTCAGCACTGATCGAGAAAGGAAGCGATGATACAGTGTGTTCCGAAAACTGATCTAGAAGATTCTTGGATGCTTGCTGCGAAGAGAGGCACGATTTAATTTCAGTGAATTCTCAATTTGCGCGATTGGCAGCTGTCAATCGGAGTAAAGGAGAGTGTGTAGATACAGAGTGTTCCTAAAGGTGATCTGGATTTTCCAGGGATTATTGTTACCAAGGAGCCCACTATTAACTCGGTGAAGTCTCAATTTTCATGGTTGGCAGCAGTCATCCCGAAAAAAGGAGAGCACGTCGATACAGCGTGTTTCTAAAAGTGATCCCAATTTTCCGAGGATCCTTCGATACTGGGCTCCTTCGCAACAAGGATCCGTGGAAGATTGGGATCACGTTTAGGAACACGCTGTATCTACTTACTTTCCTATTTTCGGGATGACTGCTGCCAACCATGAAAATTGAGACTTCACCAAGTTTATAGTGGGCTCCTTGGTACAAGGATCCCTGAAAAATCCAGATCACCTTTAGGAACACTCTGTATCTACACACTCTCCTTTACTCCGAATGACAGCTGCCAATCGCGCAAATTGAGAATTCATTGAAATTAAATCGTGCCTCTCTTGGCAGCAAGCATCCAAGAATCTTCTAGATCAGTTTTCGGAACACGCTGTATCATCGCTTCATTTCTCGATCAGTGCTGACTGATGCCAGCTGTTCAATTCGGGAACTCCTCAATCACAAGCTGCGTGATCAACAAACGGCTCATCGATGCAAACGCGCGTTGTGGAGAAGCCAATGACATGGCGCGACGAGCGCACCTTTCCCGCCAAGATATTCGGTTCCCGCGCTTTTTTTCGCGGCAATTTTGAATTGACGGGCGGCGTTTCCACATCGGACGCAGTTCCGTAAATCAACGTTTTAGTTTGCCGTTCAAGATTTTCTTTAACATTTGCCGTGAAAGCCATCAGTATTTTCTTCAATTTCTAACTGTAGTGTAAGGAGGAGTGATAGCAATTTGACACACTGTTGCATATTCGGGCGGACGATCTTGCGCTTCGTGTTTTTATTTATATAATTATAATTTTTGTTTGTGTGTGCGATTTCATTACCTATTATCTATGACTATGGTATAAAGTTACAGCAGAAGTACGGTACAAGTATCGGGGAATTGGTGGACGCTATGGGAAGGATACATACAGGGTGCGGCAAAAGTCCCGGGACGGCTGTTTATTTTTTAAACGGCTACACGTAGAAAAACGAATTTTGGGGGATGTTCTTGGGTCAAAGTAAGCTATTTTTTGGCNCCTAGGGGAGGGCGGTGGGCAACTTTTTTTTTCAAATGGCAACCCCCCGTTTGTGATACCTCATTCGAAAGATAATAAAAAAAGCAAATTTTTGGCGCAAACCGCAGGTCAAAATGTTCATTTTTGACAAAATGGCGGCCGGTCAAAGTTCAAAATGGCGGAAATTTGGCATCTCCGTTGTTTTTTGACGGATAGGTGTGAAACTTGGAATCCTTGGGTTTTTCGAGATGAGAAAAACGATTCTGGCATTGGTTTTTCAGAAAAGTCAGTCGTTTGCAAAATGGCGGCGGTCAAAATGGCGGCCTCGAGCGGGAAGTGGATATTTATAAGTTTGCATATCGTTGGATTTGCATGAAACTTGGTATCTGGGGGTATTTCGGCACGAGAAGAACGAATCTTTCATTGGATATCTGAAATTTTGACAAATTCCTAAATGGCGGCGGAAAAATTGCGGGAAATCAGTTTTACGGCTCTTTACCGATGGATTTGCATGAAATTCGATATCCTGGCGGTTTTTGGCTCGTTAAAAAGGAATCTTTCATTAGATTCTTGAAATATCAAATAATTTCATGCTAATCCATCGGTAAAGAGCCGTAAAACTGATTTCCCGCAATTTTTCCGCCGCCATTTAGGAATTTGTCAAAATTTCAGATATCCAATGAAAGATTCGTTCTTCTCGTGCCGAAATACCCCCAGATACCAAGTTTCATGCAAATCCAACGATATGCAACCTAAATATCCACTTCCCGCTCGAGGCCGCCATTTTGACCGCCGCCATTTTGGAAAGGACTGACTTTTCTGGAAAACCAATGCCAGAATCGTTTTCCTCATCTCGAAAAACCCTAGGATTCCGAGTTTCACACCAATCCGTCAATAAACAACGGAGATGCCAAATTTCCGCCATTTTGAACTTTGACCGGCCGCCATTTTGTCAAAAATGAACATTTTGACCTGCGGTTTGCGCCAAAAATTTGCTTTTTTTATTATCTTTCGAATGAGGTATCACAAACGGGGGGTTGCCATTTGAAAAAAAAAGTTGCCCACCGCCCTCCCCTAGGGGGGCCCCCAAACAAATTTTGGAGAGTGCCAAAAAATAGCTTACTTTGACCAAAGAACATCCCCCAAAATTCGTTTTTCTACGTGTAGCCGTTTAAAAAATAAACAGCCGTCCCGGGACTTTTGCCGCACCCTGTATATCTATACAGAGAAGATAGTACACAAGTACCTGAATCAAAAACCAGATGTTACTCTTTTATCTGCCGAGTCTAAGATTTTAAAGATTTTATTCCTTTTTAGGTCGTTTAAACGTCTTTAGCTTGTGCGCAACGGAGTTTTTGTTGTTGTTTTTTTTTTCACTTCTTTCTCGATGAAAATCACAAAATGATGCAACTTCTTCGGAACAATCAACAACATGACCTTCGCCCTTATTCTCTTTAAGCAGAAAAGTACATGCTGTCACCGTAAAATTTTGATCATATATTTTCTATAATAATTTATCGATAGTAATATACCTACTTTTGCTCATTAGGGTCCGGAGGGCATCTGTATCGGTATATTACATCGATTTTGTATCGCCACAACTTTATGAAATCCGCACAATTCTTCACAGGTTTAGAACTCTTTTTAGTTTCCTGGATCTGCAGGAGAAGAATTGAAAAAAGATTATCTTATTTGTTTTGCCAATTTTATCAAATTTTTTTCGGAAGAATAGGAGAGGAAGGTGGTTTATCTATTAATTAATCAGAAAATTGAAATTGCTCAGAGGTAATGAGTAATCAAACTGAGCGCGAGCATAACGTTGCTCATAACTCAGAGTTGGACTGCATTACGAAACGAGGAACTGCTATTTCTCGATAGACTATTAATTTTCATATCCGCATTGATGGGAAACTAATGGCAAACATGTTTTTTTTCTTCTTCTTTTTCTTTTTTTTAAATGAACCAGGATCAGCAGTTCTTTTACGCTAACAAGTCAATCTTAAGACCATCTATTTAGTATATATTACGTCTTTGGTATGAGGACATTGCTACCCGATTGTTAATCGACGAATTATGAGCCTCTGAAACGTCTTTTATATCATTTTACTCAACTTTACCGAGTAACCGACATTGCATGTACATAAAATAAAGTTTGAAACTTACACTCTGCTGCACAAAATAAAGTTTGAAACTTACACTCTGCTCCAGGAACTTTTCAAAGATAAGCACGGCCATCTTTGCATCGTCAGCGGCGTATTTAAGAGCCTCAGGAGATAGGACAGGGCCATCCCAATCAGTTCTCCAAGCGGCAAACCTCGGGAGGTCTACGTTAAGAAGCCTCTTGGCTAAATAAGTCAATCCTGATTTTGGGTATTCGTAGTGAGCTGCAATATGTTGCAAATCCAAGCAGTTCACTGTGTACAAGTTGTAGTCGTAGAATAGGTGGGATGTGTCGGTTTGGATAGACACGCCCACTTTTAGAACTTCGGCCGAGTTCAACAAATCCTGAAAAATGTTGCAAAGTGCTGAGTAGTTGTTCAATTTCCTTGATAAAATTTAGTGGGAATTGCGTTCCTAACTTATACATTGGAAAAAAAGCACATTGGATCTAGAGTCCAGACTCTTGAAAACATTAACAAGAAAAAGGACTCTTGGTTCAATCAGATTTACGCTTAAATCAAAAGGAAATCCGCTCAAATTAAGAGGCTTGGTTCTTGATTTAAGCTTAAATCTGATTGAATCAAGAGTATTTTTTCTTGTCGATGTTTTTAAGAGTCTGGACTCTAGATCCAATGTGTTTTTTTCCAGTGTATAATAATTGATGACCGGAAGGATGCCATCAAAACCAGTCAAGTTTATATCAGACGTTACCAAGTTTCTTTTCACCGATGAAGAAACTAAGCATCTTAATGACCCCTCTCCCCTGCTTACCTGAGGTTAAGACTTAAGCGTCTTTTCTATGCAAAAAAAGTTGAGCTAATTAATTTTTGATTTTTTATGCGTTCTTAAAATTTTTCTTCCCCTTGTATTTGTGCCGTTTATCGGAACGCGCCTGCCCATCAGACAAGGGTGGTAGGCACGCCACAGCTTTTCATATTTCATTTTTTTCAACAGAATACTACGCAACGTTCAAACTGAAAATTTTATAAAAATCCTCGTTACACTGTATGGTAAAGTAGAGGCCCACGGGAAAGAAACACTAAAAAAAATATACTTTTTATCCTTGGTGCCTCATATGAACGTATCTACTTATGCAATATGGAACTACATACATATGAATTAAGTACACAAAAATAATGTGCGTACAATTTGCGAGTTTCATAGTCATGAAACACGGCTTCCTATCTCGTCCCTTTCACCACAAATACATTAAAATGTACGCCTATCATTTGGAATATCATCGGTTCTGCTAAAAATTAAATATTTTCTCCACAGGCGTGCCTCGGTCACTTTTGCTAGGGGGGTCTGACTCTCTTACCACCGGGGTATCTGGGGGTCCTTACCCGGAAAATTTGTAAAATTTTAAATCTTTTTGGACGCATTTTAAGGCTTCCGTGGTGAAAATTCTAGGTAATAATAATTGAATGAAATACGCGGTAGTGTGTATCCATTTCGAACTCTACTTAAAATAGATAAACATACTCGTCAAAGGTTTTGCCCACCATCAGTGCAGATGATACTATATTCAATTCTGAGGGGCCAGCCCCCCCCCCCCCTGACCCCTTCCTTTGTACGCCCATGATTTCCCTCTTATAACTGTTAAATCGTAAAATAGTCTCTAAATTTTAAATGATGACCAACCTCTGTCTATCACTTACTTTAAGTCGAATGAAAAAAATTTGCCAGTCTAAATGGTCATCTTCGAGGGCGATTATTTGACTCAGTCGAATAATGAGAACTGGATTATCCTTTGTGGCAAGCTGGAGGATCGCCACAGGATGTCTAATGTTGGGCACCCTGGCAGCACTGAGTAGGTGATGGTTACTCCTCACTTCATCTACCTCTGCAGTCAACAAGCACGGTCCTTTTGATTGTGCCCACTCACAGTCCAACCCAATCACTGGAAAATTCTTGCTCACCCTAGACAAATAAATGACAAAAAATTGTTGTGTTTAAACTTTCTTTTCGACATACGGCTGCATGTAATGTTGAAACTTTAAACGGGTATTTCTTGAAGTAGCAAAACCTGCACTCATGCGTCTTATTCTCCAAGCCCCTCAAAAAAAGGATAAACCTCGAGGATAAGATCCTCTAATATGTCCGTGATACAAACGAAATACAGCCTCAATAAATTTGAATTCTTGCCAATTTCGATCAACAAAGTTTTGGGTAACGATAAAATAATGAACTCTTTTATTAACGATCAGGATTCCGAAAGCTGGAGAATTTGAGGTCATGTGAACTCTGAGTTTGGGTGAGAGGTATATTTTTACTATTTTTGTGCCGTTTCATCCCTGCTCAATAAACTCAAGATTACTGCAAGAGAATGAAACTCACCGGGCCAACTCCGTGAGCTTCTTGCACGCATCTTTAGGATTGAAGTTTTTATCGATAAGAATGTACGGCTCCTTGTTCTTTTTTCCCGAGCTGAAATTCATAATCGTGATGTTTCAATATTCACTTCTTCCTTGCACCAAATTTTAAAATTTTACGATGAAGCACGACCCGTCAATCAAACGTCACATGTGTTCATAACACGTGACTGCAGATAAGGTGAGTTCATTGATGAAAAGATAAGAGGGTTTACGCTGCACATGGTGGAAAAAATGTTTTCGGATTCTTGGCTGCAGGATGTACTTGAGAGATCGACTGTCAAACTGCAGAAACTCGTACCTCGATTGCGATGTTCTAAAATCCCCAAACTCATTTAATTTTTTAAGAGATGATAAAGGAACATCATGTCTTAAAAGTTCTGGAAAACACTCCTCCGGCAAGGATGATAAATCACGGGATTTTTTAAGAAAAGATGTTGGGTGGTTTCCCAATAAACGAATAAGTACAGCAAAAAGTCAGCAACGTCGTAAACTGAGGTGTGCGTTTTCTCAGTTTCATCGTTAAAATCAATTTTTATCATTTTCTTCAATGCGAGTCTATAAATTTGTAAAATGTCACAAATAAAGGAGTAAAATGAATTTTTTGGACAATGGAAGTAATTATCAGTTACTGTGAAGAAAACTTGTTTTTCCTGCTAGTGTATGATCGATACGCCGTAAATATAATAAAAAAATGCGGTAGGCTTGGAACTGAGAGAAAAGGCAAATTTTAAGGGAAAGGAAACACAGTCAATATGATGAAAAGTGATAGAAGTGAAAATAGATGTTGATAATCTGGCGCCCACCGAAATGAACTCAAAAAAGCCAAAAACAAAATGAAAAAAACTTCGAGCGACTGCAATGCAATGGATGATTGTTTTGCATAAAAACTCTCTGTCAAATTTCCAAAAGCAAGTTTGTGACCATTTTTGAGTAAGTAAAATTTAACTTTGCACCGTTGGAATACACATGAGCCACTGTGGCTCTCACACCTTTGACCAATAAAAATACGCTCGGCGGCTCGGCGCCACGCTGGTGTCGGCAGATTGATTAGGCCTCGCGCAACTATTTCAACTCTTCGGAGATGATATTGCATACCCGCCGAAATGAAGGAATTTTGAGTGGATCCCGTGGTTCGTGCGGTCGTATGTACCTCACCTCATCGTCGCTATTGAAGCAGCACGCTGCATCATTGGTGCAAGCCACTCCTTATCACGAGCAACTATTTCAACTCTGCGGAGATGATATTGCATACCCGCCGAAATGAAGGAATTTTGAGTGGATCCGGTGGTTCGTGCGGTCGTATGTACCTCACCTCACCGTCGCTATTGAAGCAGCACGCTGCATCATCGGTGCAAGCCGCTCCTTATCACGAGCAACTATTTCAACTCTGCGGAGATTAAATTGCGTACTCGATGAAATGAAGGATACTTAAGTGAGTTTGTCAAATCGTCTGGTAAGTTGACCATTTATTGACCAGAAATTAAGAAAGAGGAGAGTGTTGAGATAATAATGCGACAACAGCAATTTTTTTTCTCTGTTTTTTCTACTAAGACAGCTAAAAATAGGTCACTGGTTCTACACTGAAATGTATTTAAGCGGCCAGAACTCTAGTGCGCCTTCAAATCGCCCCTTATTAAAGAACACAGTATGTTTTCTACCCTGGTTGATCTTGTAGTTTATTTTCCTCAAATGCGTCTAACTAATTGTATTCACTTTAAAATGCGATTTGGGCATAAGGAAAGTTTGTCAGGACCTAAATCATTATCATGGGTATATTCTGTCCCATTTGTGGTACTTTTTTTGTTGTGATTGTGGCATAACTGAAAAAGTTGAAAGCCGGCTATGACGGGTACTTGAAGCTATACGTATTTTTTATGAAATTACCCTGCGCGACTTAAGTAATCTGTGTTTCTAAATCAGCTGGACATCAATTGAATATCATTTATTTGTATTGTGCGTCCATTATTAGCCTTTCTTCCAATTTACATCTTATAATATGATCTGTCTTGGAGTCTTGGGCAACCTTCAAACGCAGAAAACTTCTGATTTCGGAAAAAAATACAGGACTTTACCCGGTCTTCTACACTTCTACAGTCGTAGAAGACCGGGTAAAGTCATAGAATCATAGAATAAGAACGACATGACCCAGAAGTCAGAGAAAAATTGGTGAAAATTTATGTTTCGCATCGCGTAGTTTTAATTTGCCGGATTCAAAATATCGCGAAACGACAAACATACTGGGTACAATTGCGATTTTTCAAAATTCTGATCAGACTCGTTTATTAAAAGTGAAAAATTTTCAGGAATTATTCTCCACCAGGCGGAAATATATTAAACAAAATTTTGCTCAAGAATTCCAATCAGTCATTCTTAGGGGAAAAACAGACGTCGGGAGGTTTGCAATATTGCAAACCGAGATGCTTTCTCTCAGTGGTTTCGTTACCTCGATGTGTTCTTATGGCTGAAATCTCAGATCGACAAAAGGACTATTGCACGCAGGGAAAACGGTGGAATTCCTCTCCAAAATTGAAGCCTTTTTCAAGTTAATTTTGAATGAGTCCGCCGTTTTCGAAGTGACGGATAGCAACGACAACTTGCGTGTTCCTGCATGGCGCGAGAACTGGATTGCAAGTCCAAATTTCTTAAATGTTCTATCCAAATCTACCTTTTCAGTCCACGAAAATGCTAAATTCCAATTTTCACTTTTCTAGTTTGTAAATATTTTTCAATTTTGTTCTCCGTCCTTACTTGAGGACACAACCGTATGAGCCACGTGTGACTAAAACATACATTATGAAAAAGTGCAAACGATGATACATATTTTATGTCTCGCCATCGAAATGTCGAGTGCTTTCATGCAAGCGTCTGGTGGTCGCGCAGCACGCCTGTTTGTTGCCATTTTAATAGGGCGTAAATGCGATTTAAATCGAATGCAGGTACGCGGTTTTTGCTTGGACCATAGTATGCACATCAGCCACAACTAGAAATCGAAAGTTATCACGGGAACAGCGAATCGTCCACGTGCGATGCTGAGCTGTCTGAGAAAAGGCTCCATTGATCGTTGATAGATCTTGTCAAGAGCATGTGCTCATCTTAATGCTCCAGTAGTTTTCACATTCGCGTTCATTAACACACGAGTTTTCCATTTTCTCTCTTCGAATTTTCCATCCCCTTTTCATTATTTTTCATTTCTGTCTTGCTGATTTTTTTCTTTACAAAAAGGTAATTTTTAGAGGATTAAAACTATTTAAACTCAAAAACGATTGACAGTTGTGATTATATTGGCGTGTGTTTAGCATGTCTTAGCGTGATACTTGGTATTTGTTTTCCAATGTGTTTAATTTTGCATTAATTGATTTGGAATTTTTATATAAATGAAGTCCAGTGATAGGGGTCGGAGGAAAAACTGGAATAAAATAACGGAGAGAATTGTTAAAAATAGTAAGTTTTGAGAGAGGGACATTACCCATCATTGCCCACCCGTTTATGTTAAAAAATCAGCAGACCTCTTCATTACGCATTTTTAAAGAAGAAAGTAAGTGAATAATTTAGTTTAAAACAATTTTCTTTCTATATGCTTAATCTTAATTACAAAATTTTTCAACATTTGTAAAAAAACTTTACATGATAATTTAGCATGTACAATTGAATGATTTTTCAAGTAAAAATCCACTGAATGTGTGTGCACTTTGAAAATTTAGATAAAAGTCAATAATGTTAAAATGTGCGCGGTAGAAGTGTAGGTATTCCAGTTCGTAAATATTTGTGATTTTTTTTTTCAATTAATTTATATCCCCTCCTGAGATTTATACGTTTCCTTACCACTTGTTTCAGAGATCTCAACCAGCAGCAGGTGACTGCATTCATAGGATTTTATTCGGTTGAGCTAGCAATAAATCAAAGCCTTCTGCTTCAAATTTAGGCCCATTAAGTGTAGCAATTCAATCTCAACGATACGGGCCTTGATACGAAGATTATTTCTGCAGGCGGGATTAAGGAAGCAAAGAATCCCAGCTTTCCTTCGTATGATTGTGCCAGTAGCAAGTAACGTCTCGCAGAATGACGATCGATCAACGCCTGCCGGACAGTGATTCAACAAACCATGGAGTCTCAGGCAATGGTACTGCGGGAGAAGATTCAGCTTGTGACAGAACCCTACACAATGGACACAATAATGCCATGGAAAATGGTAGTGCAGTTAATGGTGTTACAGAAAATCACAACGCGTTGAAGGAAAAAAGAGCAAATGTCACGACAGTCAACAGTTTTTCATGCAAAGTCCTTTTGGATGGTGATGTTCCTCACAGTCAGAAAATCAGTGATGGCGCAACAAAATATAAATACAAGAGCAATTTTAAATCCACCCTTTCTCAGGTGAGAAAAAACGATTTTTTTTTTTGCTTTCCACGTGTGCCTCAGCGTTTTTGTATGCTACAGACTTGAATTGTCTGGAGGGTATATTGAAAATTGCTTTCGTCCACTGACTTGAAATCATGCATGTCCGGTTTCAAATCAATTTTTTGAAGGAATTTAAACGAAGAAAATATCTAGAACTCGTCACCAAAAAGTATAATTCTGAGGGGTGAAAATGTAATAAAGATATTTTATATGAAACATTTGGCTTAAAGTAAATTGTTTATCTTTATTTTTTCGGTAGCGTTGTTAACTATACCAACAATTTAGGATAATAGAGCTCAAATAGTTTGCCTGCATGACACCTTACAAAATACCATTTAATGCTTCCGAACAGCATGTTTTGGTGCCCACTATACTTTAAATGAGATGAAAAATGAATTATTACCGTTCTCATATTTTTCCGCGATGGTAAAATCAGAAAAAAAAAACTTTATTGCGGTGTTTTTAAAATTCCCGCTTGTAACCATACGTATGAAGAGGAACAATCATCCTCAATGCTCAAAATTTTTGTAGAGTATTCTTCTTGCAGAAGAGAGAAATCGCAGACAATGGACATTATACCTCATGTTCACTAAATGCACCTGTTTTTGCAGGTAAATTGATGAAAATATATGAAATTCCTGAATTAAGCCATAAATGACTGGTACCACTTGATAAAAACTCAATAAAGAAATTTCGGAGCAAAATCTGGAGCGCATTTCAACTCCACAAGGCTATTTTACTTCAAGAAAACCTGACTGCTATGAATGAGGAGCGAATTTTGCCCCGTAAAAAGTGTAGATTCTGCTCCACACTCTTCTCTTGAGAGGCAAAATAAGCGCCGGAGTGAACTGCACTCCGGCTTCCACTCCGAGAGTTTTAACCGTGTAAATTTCCATACAGTTATAGATGCATGGTTCTACAGAAGTGACAATGATACAAATCATTGAAATTATTTTTTTTTTCTCTCTTCAAAATTTCAATGCTTCTTCTCCTCCCATAAATTTCAGCTTCTGGCCACACTGGTGGAGAGTCTCCTGGTTGTCGTCATGGGGACCCAATGTGTTATGCCAACAATTGTCTTGGGGGCCCTCCGTAACAACCCGGACGAAGAACTGAGTTTGAACGACTATGATGCAGCTTGGTTAGGTATGACCTCTTAACTATCTCACTTCTCTCGCTCTTCAGCCTTATATTCTTATGAATTACCCAAAAGAGGCGAGTTTAGGAAGTTTAGGAGGTTGAAAATGCTGGATTTCCTCTATTTAAACCTGTGTTGAATAAATCAAATAACGCTTGGCCCCTCCAAAATTCGATTCATTTTCATTGGCTTAAATAGTGTGAAAACAATATTGCCAACCTCCTGGATCTGTCAATATTACTTGCATGTTACAAATGAGCTTTTTCATTAATTTTTAATCCTCGCATTTTTGAAATGGAGATAGTGCACATAGAGTTGGCAAGAGTTTTCCAAGATCTTTAATTTTTAATTTTTTTCTTATTATTTTACTAAGTATATCAAGCCTAGACGATGGTGTTTAAAAGTACTTTAAAGTTCTCCCAACTACACGCGTATCGCCGAAAAAGCCACTATGGCGTCCGAAAATATCCTTTCCGCCGCAATTTTACATACATAAAACCGCACGACTTCTTTGCCGCGATTTACAGTGAGTACATACGTGTTGCAACTTAATCAGTTTGTCAAACTTCCCTTTAAATATGGATCTATTCTGCTAGGTAACGTTCAATTTTGGAAAGAGCTGCTAAGTGGATAGTCTCGACTGACAAAATTGACCCAATTTCAATTCTTACTTCATACTAACGATGTCACAATTTCCTGTCACCAATTTTATTCCAATGCAGGAAAATACCGTTCATAACTAGTGATATCCCGCATACTTCCCCAGCAATTTTCAAAAATGCAATTCAAACATACATTGGTTAGTCTTTTTTTTTAAACTCAGAGCAACAGTAAAATTTTTGAGCCACAGTATTTGAATTTTGTGTTTTCAAGATTTCAACATTGATGCGTAATGAACAAAAGTGCCAGATGAGGAGGGCAGGGGCTAGATAATTTTGGGATAAAATTTTAGAATATTTTTCGAGATTAATTTCTTCAAAACCCTCCTCTCAGAGAAATTTGCCTCCTCCTGGCAAATTTTGTTCTCTAGCAACGTTTGCCCATTCCCAACAAGTTTTGCTCCCCAGGAAAGTTTTACTTCTCTCGACAGTTTTTGCGCCCCCCCAAAAAAAAAAAACACGCTGAAATGACGCCTGCATTAAATTAAATTTTGTGCCACGCGTTGAATATCACATAAAAAATGTTCAATGAAAAAAGAAATTTTAAAGAGTGGATACTTATATGCAAGTAATTGAACACATGTGGAATTACCGCAGTTCACTGTTTGAACGGATTAGGTAATACTTTCGCGCCGTCTGATAACCCGTTATGTACTGCCCCAGTAATATTGCCTGATTGTGGGGCGAAAAGGACCGTTCTCCCCATAATATTTGATAAAATTAAAAGAAAATATTACAAAGTATGACAACAAGATCTCCGTGGAGGAGTATCGCGTGATACTGACAAGTTCAAGTGGACCGAACCGAGGAATCATACGATGTGAATTTATTAATGGAATTTGTCCGTAAAAAGATCATCTACTCCAGGGCAGAGTGCAAGTACTGTCGCACTGCATGTAATGAGTTGATAAATTTGCTGGCTAAACAGTTTACTGAATGAGATGCAGTACGAATTAAAAAAAATTTTAAATTATTTTTTTTAACGTTCCTTTAACATGGTTACATTTTTTTTAAAATTCCAAGAGGCAACCTCAATAACTGCCATCAAAAGGCTCATACGTATAATAATGCATTTCGATAACGCAAGTCGAAAAATATACGTTTCCGGTGCAAGGTTTAAACTTGCTTCATTTTTGCATGCTTGGTTTTATATCTCTTTGATTTCTTAATCGAAATTTTTAGCCATTTAAAGAGCACATTAAGACCCTCTCTAGACAACAGGTTGTGAGATGATACGAGACCAAGACTCTTAGCTTTTACCGTATAACTTCAAAATTTGACTGACCAAAATGAGACTTAGGGAACGCATGTACCGAGTCTCAGACTCTGAGACCAGGGCCGGACTAAGGGGGTGGCCACATGGGCCGCGGCCCATGGCGGCAAATCTATAGGGGGCAGCAAATTTTGCAATTTTTTTAAATGTAGGTATAAAACAAATTCGGATTTAGAAAAACAATTACAAACGAGAAAAGGCGACATAATCTCTAATTTTCTGAGAGTATAGTAATTTCTAATTTTGTCGTCTCTTAGTGATACAAGAGACAGCACCTTTAATTAGTCGAGTTAAGAGAGAAACCAGACACGCAATTTGGCCTGGAACGGCGCCACTTACCTAGAGATAAATGATGACGAGGACTTGAGATAAAAAGGAGAAGCCCTCGGCGCGGCGATCGGCATGTAACACATATTAGCGCCTACAAGACTGCACGAATACTTCACGCATTGCATCAAAAACAGTGCGGTCATTGCGGACAGCGTGAAACGGATAGCGCCTACAAGAATGCATAAATACCTCACGCATTGCGGCAAACACAGTGCGATCAGCGTGAGACACATAGCGCCTACATGACTGCGTGAATACTTCACGCATTGCGTCAAACACAGTGCGGTCTGCGAGGCGCGGCGGCGGAAGTTAAAATCATTAATCCACATTTGTGTTTGTTCTTTCATAATTTTTTCGTTCATTTCTTATGAATGGAAGGCCTTGTCCACGCAGAGATAAGTTTACGAAACTTAACTTTCGCGCAAAGTTCCGTGAACTTTTGCTAGTAGTGTTGACAGGGCTTTCCCAAAAAATGTGTTCAACACGAGTTTACGCGTCTTATGCGCCCCTCCCCGCTGGCACGTTCATTTGATGGGTTTAATTGATGTTTCAAAACGAATGAGAAGGGGGCGGCAAAATACCAGCGGCCCATCGGCGGCAAGTAGGTAAATCCGGCCCTGTCTGAGACTCACAGTCATTGCTTAAATTGAAATTTAAACATTTGTCATGAAATTTTTAGCACCATTCTAAAACAAAAATTTCACATTTTGACAGATCTAATGAATTTGTGAGACTGGTACCAACGAGCAAAAAAAAATTTAATAATAATCGGCAAGGTTGCGAACCGAAATACGTGTTTTTTCTACTTTCATCATCGAAAAGATGCGTTCTTGATGAGCTCATATTAGTACCCCAGCGTCGAAAGGTATCTAATTCCATTTTAGTCATTTCGAGATATCGCGTGGGGGAAAACCGCGCATCGCCCGTAACAATTTCAATGTAAATCGCAACTTTCAACCAACGTAAAGTAGGTTTTCTCGCCACACTGCCATACTAAGGAAGAACGCCGTGTGAACCTTCATACGTTGCCAAATTTCTTTTGGTAAAATACGATTTTTCAAAAATACTTGCAAATATTATCCATACAATTCTTCAGAGAATTTTCTTCGTAATGCGATCTAAAGTATCCGAAAATTTCAAGGAGAAATACTCATAATTTTTCTTAAAAATTGGTATTTAAAGGGGGAGATTTGGCAACTCTCTAATGTTCATACGGCGTTTTTCCTTAGCATGGCAGCACACACGGAGCCATTTTTGGGGATTTTCAAAACGCCACTAACTCGATTTTTTCAAAAGTATGAGTTGGGTACCTTTTGCCTCTGGGGTACACTGGAAATAAAACACATCGGATCTAGAGTCCAGACTCTTGAAAAAATTGACAAGAAAAAATACTCTTGATACAATCAGATTTTTGCTTAAATCAAAAGGAAATCCGCTCAAATTAAGAGGCTTGGTTCTTGATTTAAGCAAAAATCCGATTGAATCGAGAGTATTTTTTCTTGTCGATGTTTTTAAGAGTCTGGACTCTAGATACAATGTGTTTTTTTTCCAGTGTACTGATATTATTTCCGTGTATTGCAGGTAGCATTTTGTTCCTGTGCCAACCGGTGGGGAGTATCGTATCGGGATTCCTGTGCGAGCGGTTTGGGCGCCGAGGGAGCATGGCCCTGATCAACATCCCGTTCATAGTTGGCTGGATCCTGCTTCACTACGCCGCCTCTGTCACCGGCCTTTTCGCCGCCGCCCTCGCCATGGGCATGGGCATCGGCTTCTGCGAGGCACCTATCGCCGCATATCTAGGTGAGATGACGGCATATGCATAAACTTACATTTTGAGGAGGTATATGATGGAAGGGCAAAGAAGGCTAGAAAAATTGTTAAAAAATTAAATAAGGTTCTAGATGTTGATTTTGCGTCAATCAAGGGTCTCGTTCCTCAAAAAGAGCCTTTCCTTAGGAAGACTTTAACCCTAGTAAAAGTGACCAGACTATGTTTCATAAGCTACCCTGAGTCAGACTGATTCAAGCTGATGTCAACCTAAGCTAATGTCGGTCTGATGAGCCTGACTCAGGTTGATATCAGCCGAAATTAGTTTGACTCAGGGTGGTTTGTGAAACATAGTCTGACATCAGGCTGACTCGACATATTAATATGGTTTACATTGTGATTAAGACTGACTTAAGGAGATCCTTAACAATGACGCATAAAAATATAATGTTTACAAACTTAGTGTAAAATTCAGTGGTGAAACTCTAGTAATGGATCTTTACGAGAGAGTACATTGATTTGCAATATCAAAAATTTCTAAAAATATTGCTTTCTGGTTCAAAAGAACGAAATACTTATATCATGTCTTGATAGAAGTGCGTGCAGTAAGTTGAAAATTTCTGCGGTATTTCTATCTGTCTATACCTCCACAATTTTAAAGGGCTAACAACTTCCGTGATAAAATATCTTTAAAATCGGGTAAAATTGGTTGAGCAATGAGATGGACTGTAATTTTTGGCACACTGCAACATTTTATTAGTTTATTGGAATATTGCAAATTCTCCCAAAGAAGGTGATATTTAGGGATCTTATACTAGATAAGTTCCAAAATGAGCCGATTGTGTGAGTAAAAAAATTGTGTTTTGATGACTAAATCCTGTATGAGCTAACAAAGAGAATATAATTAATATTTTGCAGGTTTGATACGATTTTTCTCATATTTTAATATCAAAATCTTCAATAATGATCTTCTAACAACTTTTTGTCTCTCAAAGGTGAGATCGGTGAACCTCATCTCCGCGGCTCTCTGCTAAGCATCATGATCTCCGCCACCTCCTTCGGCTATCTCTCCACCTACTTTCTAGGATCTATCATGCCTTGGCGTACGTTTGCCCTTGTCAATCTCATCTACCCGGTCACCACAATGATACTCTTCACGCAGGTAAGAATGTTATCTCATTTCATCATGCTCAGCGAGAAATTACAGCAAAAGACGCAGAGAACGAAAAAGCAGGATTTCAAGAAAAACCTCTTAAAGTTGATCGACCTTCAGAAACGATTTATTTCAAAGATTTACAGGATCATTGTTTATTAAGGTGATTCGATGGACGCCATATTTTGTGTCAGAACGGCATGCGATATATCGCATCAATTGGTTCCATTTTTTCAGCTACTCGTCATTTTTCTCCAATTTTGAGATCGCAATTCTGTTGTCAGGAGACTAAAGCACTTACTTACCAATTTTAACAAAAAAATTCAACGTATTAAAGGCGTGGTTTTTTTAGAGAGAAAATATCGCATTCGAGTGCAGTTACGATATCAGTATCGAATGCAATATTTTCTCTTTAAAAAAAACCACGCCTTTACTACGTTGAATTTCTTCGTTCAAATTGGTAAGTGAGTGCTTTAGTCTCCTGACAACAGAATTGTGATCTCAAAATTGGAGAAAAATGACAAGTAGCTGAAATTATGGAACAAACTGATGCGATATATCGCAATATCGCATGCCGTTCTGACACAAAATATGGCATCCATCGAATCACCTTAACATCATAGCCTAAAATTTTTGACCATATGTTCTTGGAAGTATTAGACAACATTTAGCTTTAAAAACAGGAAATTGATATTTTTGACAAAATAATTCACCGGTCAGTTTCCGCAAGCACAAACTTACTAAGTTTCTTTGACCTGCAGATCCCAGAGTCACCGGTTTGGCTGGTCCACAAAGGCCGTTTGAAGGAGGCGCAAAAGGCTTTGGGCTGGCTTAGAGGGTTTTTGCAGCCAAATCAAGTTCAAGAGGAGTTTGACCGGATGGTGAAACACATCGAATCTTCAAAATCAGCGAGCCCTACCGAAAAGAAATTAAATGATTTTGGTAAGCATCCGACTTTGAAAAGGAAAATTTCGCAGGAAAGATCCTATTTTCAAAATGGTCGCACAATGCTCAGAACGATAAAAAAAAGTCTTAGCCTTCAAATGGCGATATTACTCTACAACATGGTAGAATATTATTAAAAATTAAAGCCCACTTTTAGAATTTTTGAGACACATTTGAGCGAGATCTTGATATTTAAAATCTCTGGTTTTAACAGGACTCAAATTTATCCAATTTAAGGCATTAGAACAGATTATATTTCGTTTTATTTCCTGTCGAAAAATCCGTGGTACCCTCCTTTATAAAAGAGAATTCTACGTAAACAGAGAACGCATGCACTCTTCCAATGTTTCAAATGAAATTAAATGATAACAATGAAGAAAAAAATCGATATTTTATTGTGACTTGAGCCTGAAGAAGTATACCGTGCGGGTTAATACCGTAGAATTTTAAAATTGGGAGAAAAGGTATCATTCGCACTTGGCGATTACATGACAATTGAGTGGTGAGAGGGGGCCAAACTGTTCCGCGCCATGCAGAAAAACTTTCCGAAGTTGGAGCGTGCCCAATAATGATCGTCGACAGTTTTACAATGAAAGCTTTATCTCAATGATCCCACTTCATGAGAGGAAGTCCGCAAGCTGCAACAATGAAAATAATAATTCTCCAGAAAGATAACTTAATCCTTTGGACGTACTTATAATCGATAAATTTAAATCAATAGCCAAACTCTGAAAATTAACACGTAATTGCAGTGTTTTAAAATAACTGCCTTATCTCATTTTTTCATAGAGGCCCGACTAGCATCTACCACTCGACTTTTATTTATGATCATATGTTTCAATTTTTTTTTTTAAAAAAAATGTTATTAGTGGATTTTAGAGGAAAATTGGACAAAATAACGTGGTTATACAGGTTTGTCCGTTTGAGAGAATGAAGTACTCATAGAGATTTTGAAACACCCGTAATCCCTAAATATTGTGAAACGTAGTAGCCACTAGAAATCTTTTTTGATGTAGAATATTAGTCAAGTGTGCTAATTGGACGTATTTCTACCAAACGGAAGAATGTTAATTAAGACATGAGCCCTGAGACCCATAAGAATACATGCATAACAGGGCTCACGTCATATAATGCACATAGTTCCGTTTGGCAAAAATACGTCCAACTGTCTAGTTTCTCTCCTGTGAATAAGGCACCAAATAGAGCAACATCCTTGTCTGATCGATAATATTTTTGTTTGCTTTATCGTAAGAGCTCTTCAAATGATGAAGTTTTGCAATGAAAATTCACTAATGTCTAATTTTAAGAATAGTAAATGGATTACATTTCGCAATAAGGAACCACTATCTCTGGCTCTTCCATAAAAGCACATATCTGTATAGGAAAACCAACGGCAGATATAATGTTTCTAAAATGGACCAGAAATAGTGGATCCTCATTGCATAATGTAATCCAAATAATCGTCCCTCATTAACAACTTAAAAAGTTTGAATTAGTGTTATGCGTCATAATGATCGGGAAAATAAATTTTAACATCAGGTAGAATGGCAAAATGACATCCCGCTCTTAAAGGCCACAAAGTAAGATTTAAAGTTTCAATAAAAAGATACTCTGGCCTCGTGTCTCTATAAACATACTCTGTTATTAGAGCAATAAAACTAACGAGTCCCGTGCTTCTCTCAAGTAGTCAGAGAAGCGAAAGTGCCTTCAATTTTGAGCATGCAACACGCACATCCGTGGGACACGAATAGTTGCATCACGACGCTGCAGTCGACTTAGTTCAGTTTTAGTAGAGCAGAAACGCATCTGACTTTTGAAAATACAACATATCCAAGATACCTAAAAAAAAAAAAAAAAAAAAAAAAAAAAAAAAAAAACCTCGTAAATTTGTATATATAACTTTTGAGAAAAATAAAAAAAGATGTAACACCTATTCATGTAATCTGTTAATTGTTTTGATATTCGTTCAAAATTGCGCGAATAATTCGTCAGAAGTAGGTCAGTGGAAGACTTCCGTCGATTAGCGTATGGTTTGCGGCTGAATTAACGTCCAGCCGCTCGACGTAATTTTCAGACTTTTGACTGTACTGTCCCCGGATTGGCTACTTAGTTCACGGAATGGGCAAGAACATCGGCAAATTCGTAGCCTTGATAACGGGGGTGACCTGTCCACGAACGGGACAAAAAAGTTGCCCGGTCTCAGGATTGGGAAATTTGGCCAACGGGGTGTAACATGTACACCAAGAAAATATCCTGGGTAAAGAAGAAAATTACATCAATAATCATGCTTTCAGTTAAATCTTTTGATTTATGTGAAGATTTTAAAGAACTTTCTTTAACTTCCAGGCGAAGTTACATCAAGTGAGAGGTCTGGCATCATCGGTAAGCTGCTGCTCCTGAGGGACCCCATGCTCTTCCAGCCTGTGCGACTGATTTTCCTAACATTCGTTTTCACTCAATGCATGTGTTTGCAAGCCTTTAAACCCTATTTAGTCGGCATCCTTAAAACGTTCCAGTTTCCAGTCAATCCAAAATGGGTTCTCGTAAGTGGTTAAAATGATTTTTCCTCGTCAAAATTATTAAAGTTTCAAATTGCAGTACTTTCATCAATCTTTATCTTTCATTACCTTATTGTAATTATCATTTGGTTATCCTGTATAATTGACTGATGACGTTTTAAGATTACACAGTCAAATGGATCAGTGGCAAATATCTCAACGTTAATTTTTTTTTTTTTTTTTTTTTTTTTTAAATTTAGTGTTAAATATGTCATCAAAATTTCAAATTGGTTATTCTTTTTACATTATTGAAGGGATGATGGTAAAAAAAATCTCTTGGTGGCCGAAGAAAATAAGTCATGGCTGCTGAAATAAAAATCTTTTAGGACTGAACCGTTCTGACAGAACCACTTATGCTGGATGCATTGTGACCTACACCTACGCAAGGTGCGCGTCATTGGACTCCGATTTGAAACTAGGAGGCACTATTCCTGGCTTATTGTTCACCATAAAAGCACCTATCTGCATTAGGAAACCAATGGCAATATTGGTATCCGTTGTTTCTAAAATGAGCCGGAATTAGTGACTCCTTATGGCAAAATACATTTGACGACGATCCCAAACCATGTACCTCAGTTCACAACATTGCAGACCTCCTGTCGAACTTCATTTTTTTAATGGAAAACTACGCAACTTTAACTCTTGAAACTTTTCGTAATTTTTCTTCTTTACGTGAGGAGCATTCTGTAAAAATTTCAAGCTGTCATTTCGAGTAAAAAAAAATGGGGGAAAAAATGAAATTTTCCAAAAAAAAACGAAACGGGGCATGGATTTTGAATCAACGCAAACGAGATACATGGTTTGGAGTTCCAATATTGATATCCAAATGTGAACTGCTCATTACTAATTTTGGTGAGAATAATATGTGATGTTTTCGGGTTTCTGCAGATCATAATCGGACTCATGAGTTTTGTTGGATCAACCATGCCGCTCTTCATCTTCCGGTTCACGGGGAAGAGGAATCTGATTTTGTACAATCAGTTCATTTGCTGCGTCACTGTATTCGGCCTGGGTATCTACTGCAGCTTCTTCAACGACACCCTCAGCTCGGACAGCCCCTGGCGGTGGCTTCCGATTGTCTTCTTCGCCATCGTCTTCTTCTCCTCCAGCATGGGAATCATGAACGTCCCGTGGATGCTCATGGGAGAGGTCTTCCCCATCAGGTAAAATGCCTATTAATAGCAAAATCACCGTAGACAAATAATACAATTGCGCATTGTATTGGACTTTGGGGGATGATTGCTTCCCCTGGATTCCATAGAGAAAAAAAAGGAGGTATTCGCATCTTGAGGATTGTATACCTTGTGACGTAGATCGGTTCAACCTTGTCAGCAAAATCCGGAATTCGGAGTATGAAAAACAAACGAAAACGTTCAATTTTTTGCTTAATCAACTCATGATATAATTTCAAACACTTTATACAGTATGCACTTTTTCCATAAACCACACCATTTCCAAGAAAATCGATAATAAAAGTCGCCGTACCGACCTACATCATCAAAAAAATTCCAAGATGCCCGAAATGCAAACACCACCAAGATTTCTCTGTGCCACTCACCATTTCTCTATGCCAAGATTCTGGTTACTCCATTAATACAGTCTGGGCAGAATTGTACTATTTCTTTGAGAGTGAGACCAATATAGTCATGCAGAACAATTGAGGGGCTTAAAGGACAAGGCGCATAAGTGCAGTTTTGCTATTTCGAGAAATACGTGTTTAACATTTCAAAATTACAAGGAGCCTTATTGCGGAAAAGAAGTTTAAACTCACTTTTCAATACTTTACAGTTGGATTTTAGTTGTGAATTTTTCACAGAATATACTTTCAAACTAGTTTTAGTCAAGTTCATGAATATCTCATTTTTTTTTTCAAAAACTGCACCTTCGCAACTTGTCGTCCAAGCCTCTCAACTGTAAATACAGCCCTTGAAGTCTAAGGTTGCCGGCGGAAAGCGGCAAGGGATTGTGTACTTTTCCTACAAATCAGTATATTTCCAAGAGTATTCTTAGTACAGGCAAACTTCTTATGGATATCGATATATCGACGCTAAAACTGCAAAAATGCGTTTCTCGGTAGTGATGTTTCAAATCTTCGTCCCTATTTTATTTTCAAAAAGGAGACCAAACCAACATCATGGCTTGAAATATTTACAGAATATTCTTCACGAGAGAAAAATATGAACACCGAAGTTTTTTCAAAAAAAAAAAAAAAATTCAGTGGTTATTGGTACAGAAAATGAAATATGACAAAAAGTCCGCAACTCCGCAAACTGAGGTACGCAATTTTGCAGTCTCACCACCAATATACTCGATAAACATCATCATGAAACATGCCAATTTTACTAATACTTATATTTTAATTGCTTCTGACTTAATTTTTTATTTTTGGCTCCAGGTGGCGGAGTTTTGCCACAGGAATCTGCGGAGCGTGGGCGTATTGCGTCACATTCGTCACAGCCAGGCTTTACCTTCCGATGGAGAGCGTGCTCTCTTTGAGTGGGATGTTCTACCTTTACGGCGCCATCGGGATCCTAGGATTCTTCTACTTCTACTTCTTCCTACCTGAGACGGAAGGGAAGACACTTGAAACTATTGAGTCCTATTTCACGCCATACCACGACAAAAAGGAGAAGTTCTCTCGCCCCAAACGTTGAATCATCCACCCCCTAGGAAAATTTTCATTTTCATTTGTTCACCTGTTCGGGCTCAGATTGAGCAACTTCGCAGCTTTATCTGATGAAACACCGGAAGGAAGAAAGCGAGTTAAAGTAGTTCGAGTGAAAAAAGTTCAATTTTCTGAAGGGCGACAGAGTCTCTCAAGCGCACAAACATCTGTAAATAAAAGAGGGGACAAAATACGAAGAAGATAATACTCACCTCAAGAAACGTCTTGGAATGACAGGCATAATTTCCCTGGATTTGAATCAGTAATGATCTTAAAGTTTCAGATTTTAAACAAGTGCTGGAATTGTCCATAGGAAAAACGTGAGGAATTTTGCTAGGAGGAAATTTAGAGAGTGATATAAAACCAAACTGGTGAGATAAGTTTGATGATCATCTAAGTTATGGCGTTTTGAAAGTCGGTCGTTGAAGCTTTTAAAAAAAGTAGAATATTGAGAAAATCGCGTTAAAGCTTTTGACTAAGAAAAATACGGATACCTAAGGTTTTCTTTAAGGGATTTCTTTATCGCTGACAAAGGACCGTGTTGTTTTGGTCCAACTTCAGATTATCTTTATCGGAACAATTTTGAATATTTCCTGACATTTTTTGAAGGTTGTTATTGCAGGTTGTACCTAACATATATATCGTGTAGAATAATGTATTTAGGACATGAATGTATATTAGATTAGACATATAAAGCAGATTAAACACGCAAACCGTATAAATTTCATCATTATGAAAAATTTTCAAATTTACCTCCTCTTTCAGAATCTTACCTTTCATCTTTTCGTTTAAGCGTGGCTACTGTTTGTCCATGTGGTTAAAAAACTATTTAAAATTTCTTTCCGTAAATTAAATGACGATATATGGAAAAATGATGAATAAATGTGTTCCAAAAAATACGTCTATAAATGTCATTAATGTGCGTACTTCATCAATTAATGAGGAAACTCAGAAGAAACATTTTGAATTTTTGACTTATACATACCTGCTATCATTTACCAAAAATATCGTTTTTAGACTTGCCGTTAATGAAAGCTATCTGTTGTATATACTTATCTACCTTAATGTCCATTGTAATTAATGTACAGATCTCCATATTTTTTTACTAAATATATAAACTAAGAAAACGTAATGGTAAGTAATTCTTAGTTCGCCTGGTTTTAATTTATTACCGACTCTTCCTTTTCGTTGATCGAAGATCTCAAAGTAAAACAAATGGTGAAACAATATCATTCGTGCAGCTTGACAGACTTGTTGCCTACCTTAAAAATGAAGGAAAAACGAGTGATCGTAGAAATCGCAAGTCACAAGCCAGAACTGTAAACACCGATTTGCAGCATTTTCCTATCATATAATGTGTTTGTGTGAATGTGGAATGAATATGACGATTGTTAAGCTCACAAACTATATATTTTGGTTTGCGACGTTGCAGACTCCCTGTCACACTTAATTTTTTCAATGGAAAATTACTCTGCGTCAATTCCTGAAGGGTTCCGTGATTATTCTTCTCTCTGCGCAGCAAAATTTGTAGAATCTTGCAGGAATGATGTTGATTTTTTCTTTCTTATAGAAATTAAAAGGGAACGGAGCTGTTATAACACCGCAAACAAGATACGTGGTTTTGGAGTTTTGCCGTCGATAAAGCACCAGTTTAAATTGTGGTGATGACATTTTACATCTCTGCACAGAGATGAAATCACCAAGCACCAGTCCCATTAGGACACTGAAAAAAAAATATGGCAAATTTAAAAACTTAGATTGAGAGTCTACCTGATTTTTGACACGGTGACGCTGTAGGGTAAGGATTACCAGACCGCACTATTAGTGAATGCGGTTAGAGTTAGCTACAATATTTGCTACCTCCAGTCTGTTGGTGATTACCATTCTCATCTCTGTACCAAAAACTACATTTCTTTTATCATCGGGAGAATTTGGGCTGAAGTTTGACATCCTCCACTGAAAGCAATATTCGGAAAATTGACAATGTCGCAATAAAAATCGATAATATTTTACTTGATCGGCACAATAAGCAACGCTGGAATTAAGTTACGGTGAAAGAGAACAAGCAGAGCGCTCTTAATGAGCGTTGAATGCGACTAGCACACATTGTAACCCTTGAATGCAACTATACGTGCTCCGTGGATGTCCATGTTGCATACGCACGAGAGTGAAGGCGTTTTGACTTTCCAGGCACTCACCGCTTCACCTGCGGCACGCGCGGTGCGGCGGCAATGGCAGGCTTTACTGCGAGGATCCGAAATCGCAGATAGCTTTTAATGTTTCGTTCATATCATGCAGATATCCTCTAGGCACTTGGCACTAATGGGTGCACACAGGCGTAGGATGTGAGTATCTTTTGTGCTTCAGTTTTGATATCGCGGTGTGCTGAGTGCATGATTTGTTGAGCATCCATTCATGCCCAAGAAAAGTCTTCAAAGTGCAAATGAAAAATTGAAGGGTCGCTGTTGTCTAAGATCCTCGCGATAAAGCCTGTTACTCATTGAAATAAGGCTTTTGAAGGGATTGGACATGAAATTTTCGACCAAAACTGAAAATTTCGATGTTTTCTTCACATTTCAAAATTGTATGGGGTGCTCCTTTGAAATAATTGTACGAGAAAATCAATGAAACTCCTTCTAAAACATCTACGTTCAATGATACGTGATCTACGTTCAATGATATACGTTCCTAACATTAATATGAGCTTTTACTGGTGCCGCATTTTATCTGACTCCTCTCATTGACTCGCTTCATTGAGTATCACCATAGAGCACATAGAGTCGTAATGTAAGTGGGTGAGCTGGCGCCACTTCTAAGCATTTTCCAGGTCCCGAATTCCGAGCCTCCTGTGCGACGGCGGGTCACTTTTTCGATACATAATTGATTGTTTGCGATACACGGGTACCCGGCCATCTGATGTAAACAAAGAAGATAGGAATCATCACGTTTTCCATACCGCCATTTTGGATCGAACATGTATCGAAAAAGGGACCGGAACTCGGCGCACACCGGGCTCGGAACTCTTCGAGCAGAACATGACGCCAGCTCTCCCATTTACATTACGACTCTATGTACTGTGTGAGTATCACCGGTAAATTGGTTAGCGTCTGAAGTCAAAACGCCTTCAATTTCGAACGCACGCAATACGGACATCCATAGAGCTCGAATAGTTCCATCCAGGCGTTGTAATGAAATTCGTTTAGTAGCCGTTGCTCGCGATACCAACTGAAGTTTTGATTGTTTCTCTTACATCTTAATTAATTCTAGCGTTGTATTTTGTGCCGATGGAGTAAACCATAACTGCTTTTCATCACTACATTGTCACTTTTCCGAGAAATGCATTTTTTAAATGTATACACAGTTGCCGGCCATCGAAATCGCAACAAATAGATATCTGAGCATGAAACAGTATGTGTGGAATTTCCTTTATCCTAGTTCAATTAGTCATCATTCGTTCAGATTTTTTTGGGTTTTTTCTCCTTTGGGAATTTCAATCTTGACGTTAAAAGTGCAAAAATTTCAAACAACAATTCTGATGAATTGCACGGAATTAGGAATAAAAACTATGACCATTCGTTTTTCGAAAAAATGAAATGGGACAGGAAATATCTGTGACATCTCGCAAGTTTAAAGTTGCAAATGTGAGTTTTATGGTGCAATAGCGAAACTATAACAAAATGAAGTCTGGTTAATATTCTAATAAAATTAAAGTAGGTTCTCCTCTTTCCTTGCTAAAATGTGGGCTGCGCCCAGTTTTATGGTAAGAAGCAAATATAGGGTTCAATGATTATTGCTTCCTTCCATTCCATTTTTAGAGAGCTATGACCAAGTCAACTCATTAAAATTCAAACATGATAGACAATAAATTGAAGAGCCGCTATCTCTCAGCGTAATCTCCAAGCACGTATGCAAATCCTCAAATCATGGAATAAATGCATGAACGAGAATGATCAGAATATGATACACAAAAGCATGATCCATCGTTCGTTGCTTTGTATACTGGATACTCCAAGTTTGTTTACACTCGGAACCGACTAAAAACGTGACCGTTTTAGAATATGTCACGCTATTGACAAGTCTAGATACTAGAAGCGCTACGAAAGAGGAATCGAAAATGATCACCTCAAAGGTACCACGTGTGTTACTATTGATGCCTCCTGTCTACAGAACTCGAATGAAAGAGTGCTCGAGCTCCTGTGTAGTGTTCCTGGGTTGAGCAAGAAAATAAAAATTGTGCTTCCTCGAAAAAGTTATTTCGACATTGTTTCGCTACTTTGCCACACATCTTTTAAGTTGAAGTTTTTTAAATTTTTTTTCACAGTAAAGATTTTTTTTCCGTAAAACTTTGAAAACTATCATTAATCTACTATCCGCTACTACTACCTGAAAAACTACCTGCTACCAAAAATCATCTCCAATACTCTCAATATTAAATGACATTTGCTAACAGTGTTTGACGAAAGTAATAATTTCCCGTGTCGAAGACTGCACTCAGAAACGCTTTTTTTGAAACGTGCTTTCAAATGGCGACCCAACAGCAGGCACCTCACAGAGGTACTGGTGAGGCAGAAAAAGGAATCAAGACGGAATGTGGGAATGGCAATAACTACAATCAAGAACCCCACAATGAAAGCATCGAGTGCAATATTAATTTTATGTCTTCCTTCTCTCAGGTAAGGAAATGCTACGTGATTTTCCCAATTATTATTGACAGTGTAAATAACAAATATAATAAGAATTGTTACTCTAAAATATAAACATTAGGGGTTGGAAAATTCGATTCTCTTCGCAATCTGCATATGTTTCATGGGTACATATTAGACAAGTTAATTGCCATCTAGTGCTGGGCATAAGATACCCATAAAGTTTTTTAAAACAGTTGCAAGGTAAACTTAAGATTTGTCCACAAAGCAGGAAAGTAGATATTATATATATCTGAAGTTAAATAGATAAATATACTGAATGGAAAAAAAAATGAATTAAAAATTCTTAGTCTGCCTCCCTTAGATCCGTACATGTTTAAAGGTTCCAGGCTTGAAACTGATGTAGGGGAAGCTGGGAATAAGAATTTAATAAATAGAATAAATAGCTTTTTATAAATATACAGTGTGGAGATGCCCACAGCACAAGCAGACTTTTTATATTATGTTCGTTTGTATTGAGATGGAAAATATAATTTAACCCTTGAAAATTACTCGATGAAAAGTGGCATGATTTTTTTAAATCATATTTATAGCTGATTTTGGCGTCAACTAAACAATATGGTAAAATCAACCATGCTGCTTGTGAATTCCACCAATTTACAAACCCTACCCGAACTAGACAAACCTCAATTCGTTGGTTTGCACCAAAAGCACTTATAAATATGTTAAAATCTATCTATCATCTTCTTATACCACGTGCACTAAAAAAGGAGAATTGGACTAGTATGAGGTTGCGCGTTGCCGCATGGTTTTCTTCTGATGTTTCTGATCGATGGATATGTTCAAAAAAAGGAGCATTTGAAAAAACAGGGATCATCCCTTGGATTTTCCATGTTTAAAATAAATGCGAATCAAGAAGAAACGCTCAAATAATTTACTGACTGTTTTTTAAAGCTCCTTGCAACACTGGTTGATTGTCTCCTAGTCGTCGTCACAGGAACACAATGCGTCATGCCGACCATAGTTTTGGGCGCACTCCGCAATAACCCGAACGAAGAGCTGAGTTTAAACAACCATCAAGCAGCGTGGTTAGGTGCGTACACTTTTGCCTCCTATATTATACAAACGAGATTAAATTATTTCTAGCAGAAAGATTTCAATTTAGACGATATTTTCTACATTTTGACGACTCGGATACGGCTCGAAAATCTACTGGCATGTGGAACTGTGAACGGAATCCACCCCCTTGCAATTTCCGAGAAGGGGAGAAAATTCTATTTCGAGGCATCCTATAATCCTGTAAATTGAATAATTGTTTTATTTTCCTCTGACAGAGTTGTCGAGAGGTTTAGGGATTTGCAGTTGATAGAATCTTAACGATCCTCTGTATGAAATTTTAAAGAATGTTGTCACTGAGATCCAAAATCCGGTCCGACATTTACGAGTACATCTCTAAATTGAGACAGCTATGCCTACCGATTGTCAAACTGTGGAAGATTCCCCCTCCATAATTATATACTTTCGTCGGAATCTGTCAAAAAAATTAAAGACGACGAGTAAATCCTCGCTTTAAGGGTGGCACATAAATGCATTGATACAACTATTCGTACTCAATGGATGTCCGTATTGCATACAGAAGAAATTGAAGGCGTTTGACCTTCCCGTGTCTTTCTTTAGGCCACCATTGTTGGTTAATTTTATACCACATTTTCTAGGAGTCCCTTCCATTCGAAATAAATACACATGGACGGTATTGTCATCTTTGGCCTAAAAGTGTAAAAAAGTGTTTGCCGATCTATGATTGGGTAATTCTACTGCTCTTGTTTACTGCCGCGGAAGAATCGCCTCAAAAGATAATCTTGTTAATTTGCCCGGATTTCTTCTTTTTCTTCCATTTCTTCTTCTTCTTCTTCTTCTTCTTCTTCGTCTTCTCCTTCTCCTTCCTCTTCTTCCTCTTCTACAAACGAATAGAGCGTATTTTTGCTGGTCACGCCATCCAGTACCAAGCACATCAAATCATGAGAAATATAAAGGACTCGTCAAATCAACAAAAACAGCGATGAAATTACAAATCTCCATAAGAACGCGGCAAAACCTCACTACAATTCGATACATTTGAAGATTTTTTCGAGATTTTTACATTGATCAAACGGCAGAGTGATAGGAAAGTTATCTCCAGTTGATCACTGGGAGAACAATATTCAATCATCCTCGGGAGAAGAAAACCAACTTTGTGCCCATCTTATGGCCGGTCGTCGAAGTAATCCCTACCTCAAAGATTGTCCAGTCATAAAAATGGACCACTAGACAGGGTACGAATTTTAGCATTCTAATACATATTTCTGAACCAGAATTTCACGTAGAACACGATTCGCGCAACAAAAGTTACTGAAACCAACTCTTAGCGAAGATATTAACGTTTCTATTTCACATCAGTCACGAGGAATTTGAACTGGCCGCTCATAAGAAACTCGTGCTCGTAAACATAAGCTCTACGTGAGTCAAATCGCGCACTACAATGGTTTCAGCCAGCTTCTCAATCGAGCAATGTTCATTTCCCACCATGTGTTGTTCAAACTATAAGCAATTTGCCATAGCTCAGCCAAAGCGTCAAGACTGAGGTTGCCAGATTTTTATATAGCTGAGACGTTTATGATTACATTTAGCGCGCGATGTGAATCACGTAGAGCATTGAGTTTTCATGAGCGGGTGGTTTCAATTCACGCATCAAGAAGCATTAAATATCTTCGTAAGGAGTTAATTTCGGTAATTTTCGTTGTGCGTATCGTGTTTTGCGTGAAATTTTGGTTAGGAAACATGTATCAGAATGCTGAAATTCGTACCTTGTCTAGTGGTCCATTGTTAAAACTTTCGGTTAGATGACCTGATTTTCTAAAATCGGCTATATTTCATGGAAAGTAACGACTCGCGTGTATTGCAGGCAGCATCCTGTTCCTGTGTCAACCGATCGGGAGCGTGGGGTCCGGGTTCTTCTGCGAGCGGTTCGGGCGTCGGGGGAGCATGGCCCTGATCAACATCCCTTTGGCGGCCGGGTGGATCCTCTTGTCGTACGCCTCGTCGGTGACCGGTCTCTTCGTGGCCGCCCTGACGATGGGCCTGAGCATCGGTTTCTGCGAGGCGCCCATCGTCGCCTACGTCGGCGAGATCTGCGAGCCACATATTCGCGGCTCCCTCCTGAGTATCATGATAACCGCTGTCTCCTTCGGCTACCTCTCAAGTTATTTCCTCGGCTCGATCATGCATTGGCGCGCGTACGCGCTCGTTAATGTTGTCTATCCTGCGACTGCCCTCATACTTTTTACGCAGGTTAGTGGGCCATCGTGAAATTTATAGAATATCGACGGTGTAAGTCAGCAAACACATAACTCGTTTGCGGTGTCTGAAAATCTCCGCCTCTGTGTTATCTTTTTAAATGAGAACAAATCGACATCATTCCTTGAAGTTTTTGCAGAATTTTCTTCGCATAGAGAAGAAAAATCAAGGCAGTTTTGAAGAATTGCCGTTGTGTACTTTTCGGTTTAAAAAATAAAGTATGGCAGGAAGTCTGCGACGTCGCAAACCGAGTTATGTGATTGTCGACTTACACCGTCGATATGAAAAACCACTTAATCAGCCAAAATTCACAACTTATAAATAACAACTTACGACAAACAATAAAATAACAACTTAATTTGGGGAAATTGATAGAGTATGCTCGGTTTTGAAATCGATTTAAAGATTCAGTGAAGTTGGATCGTATCGCCGCCCGGCTGGCAAAAAGGCGTCAACACACATCGACATAAGCCTGGAAAGGGGGTAACTTTTACGGGTAACAGGCTTCATTGCAGAGTGTAGTTACGCCCTTATGTCAGGAAGGTGACTGTGTGTATGTTTCGTTTTTTGTGGGGGGGGGCAGAAGGGCAAGTCGTCGTAGAGGGTCTTGACAGAGGTCTGATGGACTTTCCTAGTTCTAAAAAAAAGCCTGTTTGGAAAACCCTTGAAACAATGAGTCGTTGCCAGAGCAATTTTGAGCTGTTTCTATCGAAAAATTGATCGAATTACAATTTCAAAGATGTGAGATGTCGAGCAAATTCTGTCACATTTCTAAAGAAGAGCCAAAAAAATGTCTTAGGGGCGCAGCCCCTCTCCTGCAGTTCCGAACTACTACTCGCTCTACTCCTCTTTCAATGTTTCAAACTAATACATTAACAGCGGATGATCATGTTCAAGGTTTCTTAAATTAATTTTTCAGGAAGTTCAGAAGTATGAAAAGAGGCAGAGTAAATTGTAATTCACCGGTCATTTTCCGCACAAACTTACTCAGTTTATTTGAACTGCAGATTCCAGAGTCACCAGTCTGGTTAATCCACAAAGGACGTCTAAAGGAAGCGCAAAAGGCTCTGGGTTGGTTGAGAGGTTTTGTGGAGCCACATTGTGTTCAAGAAGAATTTGACCGAATCGTTAGGCATGTTGAGGCATCAAAATCATCAAGCTCTTGCCAAGAAAAATCAGAAAAAGTCGGTAAGTCAACTGAGTTAATTTTCTACCATTAGGTGAACTTCTTGGTGCCGAAGCCATAGAATGGAAGCCATAGAATGGTAGTAAATAAATGCATAATTTTAACGTCCAGTGTCAATACTTTTTGCAGTATATCTTGCAAAATGAAGGCGCTCTGCGATACATACCTGCATTTTACCGTACGAGATATTCTTTGTGTTATTTTTTAACAATACTTCAGATTCTTATACTTATTTTTTCTTCAAGAATCTCCACTGATAATAAATAACTTTGAAATCTAAATTTTGTAAATCACAATTTTTAGGAGAATTGCAATCTGATGAAAGGGGTATTCGCAAATGGATGGCCGGGCTACGTGATACATCTCTCATGCAACCTTTGAGACTAATATTCTTAGTATTCACGTTTACACAATGTATGTGCCTGGTAGCTTTCAAACCATATTTAGTCGGCATACTGGCCGCATTCCAGTTTCCAGTTCATCATAAATGGGTTTTGGTAAGAATTTTTATATTCTACTCGTTAAGTTTTAGTATGAGCATCTAATATCCCTTCAAAAGAAGAACGACTCGAAACAAATTTCATTTTGACGCATTGTGGCAATTAAGCTAGTTGCAAATGCGATGTTTCAAAGTGTATCAAAAATTCTTATTTCGAAAGGAACTAAGTAATTTTTAAGTACCTATAAAATTTTAGAGAATACTTTTAGATAATTAGAGAAGATCATGTATAATTTCTTAAATTGAAATCAGAAAGATAAAATACGCTAGAAAGTTCACAGCGCTAAAAAGTAATTGACATAGTTGTTTTCTTCCGCAATGGACGTATTTTTTTCCTCTACATGTTTCCAAGATTATAGAGATGCATTAAAGCGTCAAAAAGTAATAGAGATTTGGAATTCAAATATCCCATTCTTGGTCAAATATGCTGTCCAGGGCCGGATTAAGGGGGTGGCCACATGGGCCGCGGCCCATGGCGGCAAAATGTATGGGGCGGCAAATTTTGCAATCTTTTTGAATGTAGGTATCAAAAAAGGAGAGAAAAAAATCGGATTCAGAAAATAAATTACAACAGAGAAAAGGCGACAAAATCTATAATTTCCTGAGAGTAAATGTATAGTAATTTCTAATTTTGTCGTCTTTCGGTGAAACAAGAAACAACAACTTTAATTAGTAGAGTCAAGAGATGAGAAACCAAACACGCAATTTGATCTGGAACGGAGTGGCGCGGCGGTCGGCATGAAACGCATAGCGCCTACAAGACTGCATGAATACTTCACGCATTGCGTCAATCACACTGCGGTCAGCAGCAGTCGGCTTGAAACGCATAGCGCCTACAAGACTGCATGAATACTTCACGCATTGCGTCAAACACACTGCGGACAGCAGCAGTCGGCTTGAAATGCATAGCGCCTACAAGACTGCATGAATACTTCACGCGTTGCGCCAACACGCAGTGTGGTCGGTGCGGTGGTGGAAGTTAAAATTTTTAACCACATTTATGTTAGTTCTTTCATAATTTTTTCGTTCGTTTTATTATAAATGGAAGGCCTCGTTCAAACAGGGATGAATTTACGGAACTGAACTTTTGTTAGTGTTGACAGGGCTTTCACAAAAAATGTGCCCAACACGAGTAAACGCTTCTCATACGCCGCTCCCCCACCGGCACGTTCACTTGATGGTTTTTATAGATCGTGTTTGACAGAATACACAGATGAGATTATATTGATATCGATTGGTTCAATATGTAACCACAGCCTCAAAAGTAGATTTAGAAATCTGAGATAACGGGTCTTATGTGATCCAATTGTTATTCTCTCGAGTACCAAATGGCAATGAAAAGTGAAATTGTTAAGAATTTTCTCATTTTCAGCTATTCCAAATTAAATCCTAAAATTTTTGTTTGAGTTTATGTCCTATCGTTTTGAACCAAACGATACATCGAACCACTGTCGAATAGGATCTATTGATGTTTCAAAACAAATGAGAAGGGGGCGTAAAAATACAGGCCCATGGGCGGCAAGTAGGTAAATCCGGGCCTGATGCTGTCACTGTTTATCTCAAATCGTCTTATGAGTCGAGCCGACCATTCCAAGTAAAATAAAACATCAATACAGGATTCTTAAGGCCTCAATGATTTTCAATTTTTCGCATCAACCAACGGTCGAAATAATATTCAACTTCAAAAATTCTTTTCAGATAACAATCGGTCTCATGAGTTTTTTCGGATCGATGATGCCCTTCATCATCTTCCGGTTCACGGGGAAGAGGAATCTGATTTTGTACAACCAGTTCATTTGCTGCGTCACTGTATTCGGTCTGGGTATCTACTGCAGCATCTTCAACGACACCCTTAGCTCGGACAGTCCCTGGCGGTGGCTCCCGATTGTCTTTTTCGCCATCGTCTTCTTCTCCTCCAGCATGGGAATCATGAACGTCCCGTGGATGCTCATGGGAGAGGTCTTCCCCATCAGGTAAATTTTTAATTGGACGTGTTTCTGCTAGACGGAACTAAGAATTCCGGATATAGCGGTCTGTCAAACGGAACTAAGCGCCATGCATGAGAAAGCATTGTGAGCATAGGACGGAATAAGCACCGCGGTCCGCAGTACCCGCCAGTCCAACCAGCATTCCCCTTCTTCCCCTTACAGCGCTTAGTTCCGTTTAGCAGAAATACGTCCGATTAGTTTAAGAACGAATGAAATTGTGTATTGGAGGAGGGAGAATCGAAGGAAAAACTCGGGATTGTGTTAAAACTTTAAATTCGTTTTTCTTTGTAATTTGATGTAGTCCAATGGTACGTATTTGTGATGTAATAAGGCCAAATGGACGTATTTCCACCAAACAGACCTATTTGCAAGTGAGAAATATGGGGTGTGCTCGTTAGTTCTCTGCGTAAGAGTGAATGAGAATAATAAAGCGCCAGTGACGTCAGCGGCAACGAACGAGCGCCGGCACAACGGGGAGATCGTTGGAGGGAGTCTTTAACTCATGAGCCCTGTGCACAAGGCTCTCTTGCCATGCCCGCGGCTCATGACTCCCGCATTCAGTTGCACATAGGTCTGTTTGATAGAATGTAATATTCCGCTTTTCCAATTCTACAAAAGGAATCACGCCCACTTTTACATTGCTTCTTATGCAGCTTCGACCAGCACACCCCATATTTCTTACCTCCACATAGGTCTGTTTGGTAGAAATAAGTCCAAATGTACCTTAAGTTGGAAATTTAAATCATTCAGGCATATATCCCGCTTTTGGGTCAAAAAGTTTGACTTTTAGTCTCAAGTGCTAAACGCTTTTCAATACTTTCAAAAACATCGGATCCACATTTTACTTCATCATTTGAATCAATAATGATGTAATAAAGATTTGGAATGAATTATTTTGGAATGTAGTACCAATGCCGTCAAACTCACTTCGTTTTTCTTGAATTCTCGTTGTATTGTTTTCTAAATTTGTAATGTTCCTGAAAGAGTCAATATTTTTCCAATTTTCTGCGACAAATAATGCAGAATTATTCCTGCCGAGGAATCTCTCGCCATCTCTCTCTCTCCCCTCTCTCCAACTCCCTCTCCGTCAGTACCATTTCATCAGGCGCCATGAAATCTGATTTGAAGAGAAAAAATTTGCAATTCTCATTCTTAAAAAAAACTAATTGTGTAGAGTAAAAAACCTGTTTGACAAAGACTATTTTTTAAATTATTTTGACGTTTCTAATTTTTTATTCAAATTTTGATAACTTCAGGTGGCGAAGTTTCGCGACAGGACTGTGTGGGGCGTGGGCGTATGCGGTCACTTTCGTCACAGCGCGACTTTACCTCCCGATGGAGGGTGTTCTCTCCCTGAGTGGAATGTTCTACTTCTACGGTGGCGTCGGGATCCTGGGTTTCCTCTACTTCTACTTCTTCTTACCTGAGACGGAAGGGAAGACACTCGAAACGATCGAGTCCTACTTCACGCCTTACCACGACAAAAAGGAGAAGTTCTCCCGCCCCAAACGTTGATTTTACCAGTGCACTGAGAAAAAAGTTCAGTTGTATGAACCAAAGTTTGGTGTTCCATATGAGCCTAACTAATTCGGTTTGTCAAACCAAATTTTCGGGTTGTCAAACCAAATATTCGGTTCGTCAAACCGACCTTCCGGTTTGTGTAGCCGAACTTCAACGGTAAAGTAAACTGACGAACGAAGTCGGGTCACATGAACCGAATGTTTGGTTAAACGAACCCAAAGGTTCAATTTCACAAACCGAATAGTTGGGATGATATGGAACACCGGATTTTCGGTTCATATCACCGAACTTTTTGTTTCAGTGTGTGCTCCTTGGGAAATTTCGAGCTCTATTCTGCATCTTCTGCATCTGCGTTTGAATCGAGAATGCCCACAGTTTCCTTTAAAATGGCGTTTGCATTACAATCCGTTTGTAACAAAAACGGCCGGAGGACATTGAGCAGTCAATGAATGCATGAACTTAATAGTGGTAGGAGTTTGTACTTGCGTTCTATTGTACATGCCAAAACTGCCGCTATACTCCATTCAAATATTTGCCTTCCTCTTCCACCTATAAGGCTCTTACAAGAAAACATGATTTCCAGTATGCATCATTTTTTCTTCTTTTTGAGTGTCTAATGATATGTTAAAATCGTTTTAAAAAATTGAAACGGAAATGAATATTTGTTCAATTTATTGTAATATTTCATTTTTTCAAAAACAAAATCAAGAAGTATAGAATTTAGACACGGTCTTTTTACTGTGGACGGTGGGGCAGGGCCTCCACTCTGATGGTGAAGGGGGGTGTTAAAATATAATCAGGAAGCCTTGTTCATATGTTTGATGTCATGGTGATCGTTTAGTTGAGCAAAAAAGAAAGAAAAATCGCATGAACGTTGATAATTGCATTTTGCATGGTTTTGAAAGAAAATATGTACTAAAAGTTGGAAGTATGCTTGACTGACCTGTCAAGGGTGGACTCATGAAGTACTCCATGGATAAACCAGAAAATGATCAGGCAGACTTTCATTTTTTTTAATTATTTTTTTACTTGTTTCTAGCTATGTACGAACTTAAAATTGTATATTATTGCATGAAGCTCAAGAGTGAATCAAGCATTTAATCGGTGGAACTGAAATGTTCTTCATGTATATGAGTAATAAAATTCAACTTGGGTTGAAAGAGAGGTTTGCTTAAGGGAATTGATCATCGAAAAGTTGAAAATCGTTATTTTTTTCACATTACCACCGGATGGTCCTGCTGTATAAATTCTCAATTTTCCCCTCTATTTTATACTGATTAAGAATATACTCAATGAATGTATGAATATCTGGTTTCGTAATATACATTTATCAAAAATTTTATGAAATTTTTATTGATCCTTGTAAAATCCTTGCATCCATCAAAAAATCTAAAACCGATCAATTTTGGTTGCTCAACTTCACTGAAAACCGCCGACCTGAAAAATGAATTTTTACGAATGTGAGAGATCGGCTCGGCATGAAAATATGATCAGTTTTTGCTCATCATTTAGTTGCTGGTTGCCAAATGATTACGTGACATAAGGTAAGAAAAATCCTTGGCATTAACCCTGTGCAAGTACGGCTGCTTAATTTCGATAATTTTCGTTACAGATAAAGCTTTAAAGCTCCCATTTCTTATCTCATGCATATCTCAAACTACTCAACCAATGAGGTCGGTGAAGTTATGATTTGGAGTAGTATTTTAACTGTATCAGTTTTTTTCTTCATGTTTTCGCTTTCAGCTCATCATTTAGTTGCAAAATTGTTGTGACACGAGGCACAATAACAACTGCCCGTAGTCGAAGATATTTTTTATTCAGGCATCTGACTTTATGATGATGGAAGAAAGAAAATACCTCAGGTAAGGCTAAATAAGTATGTCATTTACAAAATTAATCGTAAAATATTTTTCTTTCAATTTTTAATATTCATTTCGATGAGGAATGTCGGCTTGATGTTTTTCGCTCAGAAAAGTTGGGTTTGAAGGAAAACGATTCAAAGTTTTAATTTGCCCAAGGGCTATGATCGAAATTTATTTTAACTTAACGGAAAAATATCAACTGAATCAGCAACAACTCTCTTTGGGTAGCAAAAAAGTAATTTTTTTTATCTACTTAACCTAATTTGAAGCAATTGTTTTCTCAAAAGTTTTTAGGCTGTAACTAAGGTCCACGTGGGTGGTTGCGGATTACATATTTGTATGCTTAAGAATAAAGTCACAAAAGAGATTTTTCAAAAGTATGCACATGCACCCAAAATATTATCAACTAAATTAAAATGTCAAATTTTGTTTGTTTATAGATGAATCCTTTTTGTGTTGATCGATTTCTTATCATCACCATTATCGAGTTTTAAAGCAAAATCACTAATAATAAGTAGATATGAATCACGAAGACGTCGGTGCTTCCATGATTAAACGCGTGAAATTAGAAGCCTCTGAGGAACATCCTTCCTTACAGTATCGAATTCAGATTGTCGATGAATCCTTACTTGACGAAGCGATGACTTTTATGGGAAAATATTTCTCAAATAATAATTTGGGAAACTCATTGGGTAAGTAAACGCTACTCTTACAGCTTTTCCCCAATTTTTCCGGTTTCAATTGGACCGCGTTCAGCAGAAAGGAGCCAAGCTACGTCAGCTTTTGTCAAATTAGGAAATTTAATTTTTTACATGAAAACGGTTGTGCGGATTTTTGTACAAATTTCAGTGAATTTTCTGCATAATGCGAAGCAAATTCCTTTAAAGTTTCAAAGAAATCCGCACAAACGTTTTTGTAAACAAAATTAAATCACCCGGTTAAAGGCAATAGCTGATGTGACTTGGTTCCCTTCTGCTAATCGCGGTCCAATTGGTAGTGGAAAATGAAAACTTCATTTTTCAGTAAGAACCTTTTGATTCATTAAAAGAAGAAAAAGCAAAAAAACAAAAAAAGGAACGGTTTAGTTAGTTACAAATTGAAGTTTTTTTTTTGAGGGGGGGGGCATTCAGTTCAATGAAATTTACGATTATTCCTCTTTTTGTTATAAAATATTGAGACGCATGCCAATATAATGTTCTATATTGTGAAATTTCCATCAATTATAACTGTAGTATATCCGCCATTATATTACACCAGAATGTGCTGCTATAAACTTTTACTGTTTGATTTCTCCCCTGGTAAAAATTGGCAGTAGAATCTGTGCTCTAAAATACCATAGACCTAAAGCCGCCGGCTGTAAGATTTCCAATAGCTTCTATAGCCGGCTACACAATTTCTTATAGCCTTTTATAGCCGATGGCGATTAAGCAACAGCCAGGCGATAAAGTGTATGCTAAACGTTACTAATTACGGATGCTAGGACTTAGTGAGTTTTTGGACTACTGCTCTCTTTTTGGGCCGTAGTATCTTGATTTATTTTGCGAGGAAAGCTCCGTACTTTTGAAGGATGCCTGCCATTCCTAATATGTTGGAGCGCCTTCAGTTTCGTATGATACTGTGCAATACCTCTGGTGTGAAATAGTTGCTTCAAGCGCCGTGGCACGCTGCGGCGCGGCAGGCGGGCAGCGAGCGCGAGACGCGCATTGGCGCCTGCAAACCTAACAGGGATACTTCACGCGTTGCGCAACGCGTGAAGTATCCCTGTTAGGTTTGCAGGCGCCAGTGCGTCGCCGCTCCGCTTTGTGTTAGGCTCTAATATTTAATCTGGCGGAGTCACGTTATTCAACTCATGATTTTGAAATTTCTGCACATCCTGTATGGATTATTCTCATTTTAATTGATGAAAAAAAATATGTATTAAAGGAAAATATAATGCGTATTCTGTAAATATTAAGGTGGTTCCGTATCAAACTTAATGATTTCCAAAGCACACGAATTTCTACACAATTTCTTATAGCCTTTTATTTTCGATGGCGAAAAAGCAACAGCCAGGCGATAAAGTGTAAAGCCCGGCGATAGGAACTTTAGCCCGGCTGCATAATTTTTTATCGTTTCGAATAGCCCGGCCGTATGATTTTCTCCGCATTCTACATCCAGCTACATGATTTTCTGTAGCCTCCTTTAGCCGGCTATAAGAAACCCTATGGTATTTTGAAACGCAGCTCTTATCGCCAAATTTTACCAGGGTCATTGTAAAAAACGTACCATTAATTGGACGAAGTTAAAAATAAAAAAATCAAGCCTCATCAAGATCGAACCGAGAAAAAGAGGTTTTATTCCCGCTAGTGTTGGAGATAAAGTTCAACGCATATTTTAAAATGAATATATTTTGTCCTCGACTCAAACTTTTCGACAGGAAGAAACGTGCAGTTCAACGCCGCTCTGCACCTCTATCTCATTCTTCTCCAAAATGTGACGTGCCTTCTCATTGTTTAATCCAGTCAAATTCACCTTCAGTTGCAGATCTCAAAGACAAAAAGTTAGAAAACTTCGAAGGAACTATTTGGAAGGAGATCCTTTCAGAAGGAATTTCATTGGCCGCGATTTTGGAAGATGACCAAGGAAATAGGGGCCGCATTATTTGTTGTTATGCATTAGGGATCGTAAAAGAAGGGGATAAATTTGACCTGAACTCAGTGAGTATGAATGCTTAAATCAGCAGCAAGATAGTATAGTTTCCTTTGACCCCGCTGAATTTTGACGCCATAGGTGCGTAACCATGGGTGTAAATTTTGCCGACTTTTATCGAAAAACGCGTATTTTCGATTGCGACGTTGCAAATCTTCGCTCTTGTTCCATCAACAAATAACTTGAAATTTTCTGTGACACCTCTTCATTCCTTCAAGAATATTTCCAGAGAATCCCACTGAGATATCTCGTGAATGTACATAGAGATTTTTGAACATTGCAATGGATAGGCATATTTGGATTGCATTTTGCAAAAGGGAACCATGAGCATTCATGTCGCTAAGATTGTGCAACTTTTTTTACCTTGCAAATGTGAACTGATCATCTTAACAAGTTTTACTCTTTACTGCCCACAAATTACACATTTGAGACAAAAATACCCTTATAAATTTAAGTTTTCACATAATTTTGGTAATTTTATTGCTGAGAATGCGAAAGCGCACAATCCTAGCAACATTGGAATGCTCTTGGTTCCTTTTTGCAAAATGCATTCCATTCCGACGGTGAAACTACCAAACCACGTACCTCGGTTTGCGACGTCGCAGACTTCCTGTCATACTTTATTTTTTAAATGAAAAACTACTTAACGTCCAGTCTTGAAAATTTCTGTGATTTTTCCTCTTTGTGCGGAGAAAATTCTGTGAAAATTCCAAGGAATGATATTGATTTGGTCTACTTCAAAAAAATAAAATGTGAGCGTAGATTTTTAAACACCGCAAACGAGATACGTGGTTTGGTAGTTTCACCGTCGATTTGTAACACAACTGTTAGAATGGGATCTAGCAAGAACATAATCGCTTACTTAAATCTTGAGTATCCCTATCCCTATGGGGCGTGAAATTTGCAAAAAAAAAAAATAAAAAAAAAATTAAAAAAAAATTTAAAAAAATAAAAAAAAATTAAGGTAATTCTAGGAAATAAAAAGTATAATAATGAATTAAATCTGTATACAGCCGAGATTGAGATATTTTATAGCGACTCGACGAATATCGCACTTCTGAGTTTGCTTCCATGGATTGTGTCCTCTTTCCTTGAGGACGGTGTAAGATTATGCATATCCACCTACTTCATTTACATATGAAAGTATAAAATTATGCAAGTACAACAGCCCCTTCAAACACAAAATTTTTGCGATTTTGTTAGTATCGCCTAAATACCACTATTCGTGCTTCGTAAATGTGCGTATTGCATAAGTAAACCAATGCAGGCGCTCCAATTTCTCTCTCGCTTGAATTTGATGCACTTATAGATGATTTTTCTTTATTAATCAAAATATTTACTTAAAATTCCAGCCAGAACGTGATATACCCAAAGGTTCCAGATGCATTATCCAAACTTTAGAAGACGTGACGTCGAAAGCTGACGTTTTCAAGGCGTTCGATTGTGACGAGTATATCGATGGGTGCGGCTTGGCAACGGCCACAGACTTCCAACGCCGTGGTATTGCCGGTGAGTTGATGCGAGCTTGCCCTGAGGTTTGCAAGCTCACCGGCACCCCCGTATGTGCAGCTGTTTTTACCGCTGAGGCCTCCCAAAAGCTTGCCTTCAGATGTGGCTACAAGACCCTCGCCGAACTGGATCTCACCACTTATCGCATCGATGACAGAATCATCTATCCTAACCCGGAGTGTCCTGTCATCAAATTCATGGCCATTCGATACTTCTAGATCCATTTCCGCAATGTCATACGATCAAACCATGCTATCAATAAATCGTCTACTTCCGGCAAAATTATCACAAGCGCCAGGCGACGTTTCCAAATATCCGCCGGCATTTTATTTTTCTACAGAGAAATTGTTGGTTGAATCTGTTTGGGAATGTCACTGAATTTTATTGTTAGCACAAAAAAATTCGGTGAAATTTTCGGACAGCCTCGTTGAACAATTTCTCTGTGAAGAAATAAAATGGTGGCGGAAATTTCGAAACGTCGCGTGGCACTTGTGATACTTTGACCGGAGGATGACGAAATCAAGATCAAATGCTTTGATTGGTCCAAGTCATCGAATAAGCCAATCGCAACACCTGACTTTGATAGTGCGGTTTGATCCTGTGGCATTAGCTTTCCAGCCTCGGACTCAGCTTTATTTCTTAGTGGGAGTTCGTTCGCAAATGACGGCAGAGTCTATGGTGGGGGGAGGGGGTTGTGAAGGGACGTCTAACATGTACCTGACAAAAGGGATGCCATAGGTGGCGTCATATTTCTAGTGACAATCAACACCAATGCATAACAACCCTAAGTCTGAGAAGGTTGGGAAAGTATGTGAGAAGGTCCGATCACATGAAATAGGCATTATTACGGCTGCTTAAGTGAGATTTTTGATAAAATAACCATAAGTTTGTGTAATATGAAAGAATAAAGTATAAAGTTCAGTCGGACTTTGATGTTGCGGACAGTATATTGGACGTTTGGTCCATAAGGTCAACCGTCCAATATACGTCAACACGATCAAACGTCAAACTTAGCCTTGTATACCCATTTGTTTTTTGTATTTTAATGTGTTTTTATTGTTTTATCAAACTTTTCTAATCAATGAGGAGCATTTATGTTCATGAGGGGTTTTCAAGTTCTTATGCATTCTTTCCGCCCTCTTGTAAGACGCAAAGGCCTAGCTTGGGTAAAGTTGCAAGGGAAATGGGCATATCGACGATGTAAGTCGGCAATCACATAACTCGGTTTTCGACGTCGCAGACTTCCTGTCATCAGGGCCAGATTCACCTACTTGCCGCCCGTGGGCCGCCTGTATTTTGTCGCCCCCTTCTCTCATTCGTTTTGAAACATCAATAAAAACCATCGAGTGAACGTGCAGCGAGGAGGGATGCATAAGACGCGTTTACTCGTGTTGGACACATTTTTTGCGAAGCCCTGTCAACATTACCAGCAAAAGTTCACGGAACTTTGCGCGAGTGTTAAGCTCCGTGAACCTATCTCTGTGTGAACAAGGCCTTCCATTTATAAGAAATGAACGAAAAAATTATGAAAGAAGAAACTGACCGCACTGTGACGCAATTCCTGAAGCATTCCTACAGTCAAATAGGCGCTGTGCGGTTCACACCGACCGCTTCTGAACGCACTGTGTTTGAAGCAATGCGTGATGTATTCATGCAGTCTTGTAGGCGCTGTGCGTTTCATGCCAACTGCCGCGCCGCGCCGCTCCGTTCCAGGTTACGTGCTTGGTTTCTCTCTTAACTCGACTAATTAATGGTGTTGTCTCTTGTATCACCGAAAGACGACAAAATTAGAAATTGCTATACTTTTACCCTCAGGAAATGAGAGATTTTTTTGCCTTTTCTCGTTTGTAATTTATTTTCTGGATCCGATTTTTCTCTCTCTTTTTATGATACCTACATTAAAAAAATTGCAAAATTTGCCGCCTCCTAAATTTGCCGCCATGGGCCGCGGCGCCGCGGTCCATGTGGCCATCCCCTTAATCCGGCCCTGCCTATCATACTTCATTTTTTAAACGAAAAACCACTCAACGGCAATTCTTTAAAACTGCCATGATTTTTCTTCTCTGTGCGAAGAAAATTCTGCAAAAACTTCTAGGAATGATGTCAATTTGTTCTCCTTTAAAAAAATAACATAGAGGAGGAGATTTTCAGACACCGCAAACTAGTTATATGATTGCCGACTTACACCGTCGATATACGTGACAGCGGCAGAAAAGCATCGTGAGGGAGAAAATTAGTAGCGTTAAGATATGGGAGTCGAGCGGTCTCTTAAAAACCAATCTCCATCCCTCATGAACCATTGTTATATTTATCGACAGTAATACCGCAAAAATGCGTACACCGTTTGCGATGTTTCAAAATATCTGCTTTCACTTTACTTCATCAAAGGAGAACAAAGCAACAAAATAAATTAAAGTCTTCATAGTCTACTCTTCCTCAAGAGAGGGAAAATTAGAGAATTTTTCAAGAAATGACATCGAGTATTCTTTTTAAAAAAACAAATCATGACAGCTAGTCTGCGGCGTTGCAAATGGAGGTACGCGTTTTTGCAGTATCGCCGTCGACAAAACTCTTTATGTGCATGTATTTTGTCTGATTCGTCACGTACATGTAGAAATACACTTTTCGCACATCGCAAACTAGTTATACTCTTTGGTATCCATGCATATCCTCCTCAAAATTGTTTAATTTTAAACTCGCATTGAAGGATGAGATTTCAAAAGCACGAGGACTGTCGGCGACAGTCCTCAGGATGTCCTTACCGCACATGGTGACAATTTTTCTGCACTCCACGGCCATACGGACCGTTGATGCAAAGCTAATTTTATTTTCCTTCATAAAAAAATGGACTTCAATTTTTATCTCATGAAAATCGCGATCAACTCGACCCACAAAAGAAATCCAGAGGGTGGTGGGGAGAGAGTCATATCGACGGTGAAACAACCAAACCACGTATCTCGTTTGCGGTGTTTAGAAATCTACGCTCACATTTTATTTTTTTGAAGTAGACCAAATCAATATCATTCCTTGAAATTTTCACGAAATTTTCTCCGCATAAAGAGGAAAAATCACAGAAATTTTCAAGACTGGATGTTAAGTAGTTTTTAATTTAAAAAATAAAGTATGACAGGAAGTCTGCGACGTCGCAAACCGAGATACGTGGTTTGGTAGTTTCACCGTCGATATGCTAATTCGGATGCGACGTCAATGTCAATCGCGGCCTTTTCGCCAATGAGATTAAAGGAACCAAATACCGCTCCACACCGCACATGACCCAACTTAGCAACGATCCTCATCAGGGACCGAATTTTGTCTGGGGGCTAATTTGTCAGCTCTTTCACACACGTAGGTTGCAACATTGATCGATGAGTCCAAACCGCACCACGGGCCAATCAGAAGCGCCAAGTCGGACTTAAGCAGAGGCAAGACTCGACTTAAGTATGTTTAAGTACGGTGGAAGGACCGACAAAATTTGGCCCCAGTCCTACTACTGGTACTCAAATTGTGAACTTTGGACGAGTCATAAGGAGACCGAATTTTGTCGGTTCTCTCACATGGTGATGCACGCCCGTCAATAAGTCCAAACCGCACCACCGGCCGCCAAAAGCACTAGGCCGGACTTACATGCAGTTGAGACTTGTCCTGAGTGTATTAAATTATGGTGGAAGGACCAACAAGATTCGGCCCCTGCGTTTAAGATCGTACGTTCCACTACCTCTGATCGGCAGGTGATGATGAACGTTGCATATCCGGGTAGAAGGGCTAACAAAATGCGGGCCCCTGCAGAACCACTGAAATAGGTAGGTATCAGCTCGCCACCATCTTCTGTATTCTTTTTATCTCTTTATATATTCCACTGCTGCATGGTTGAAAAGTGCGAAAGTTAGGAAGTGACCGGTGTGGTGACATGACGCTAGGCTGGGCTAGACATATAGCTCTACGACACTAGCGCCTCTTCGTAGGAGATGTAGAGGTAGGGGGAATCCAGTTATTCAGCATCGAGATTCTTATTCCTATCTCTCGTGCTCATGCATTTATCTCAATGGCATAGCGGACCCTGCAGTGTATGCAGCGCAGCGCGTTGTGCCACTGACCAAGTTTGATAAGGTTGCGGTGAGAGTTTGGACTTTTCAGATAGATAAATAGAACAGGTAGGATGTAGAAATAGACCAATAATTATTCTCGTGATGTATAGTGTTTCGTCTCTACTCTTCTTATTCTTCGCTAGCTGTTTGATGGTGACAAAATTACTCAGCACCGGTAAGTTCCCTTTAAAAAATTAAAAATTCAATAAATCAAAGAGAGACATTTCAAATGTGTCAATTTTTTTAACGAGTTACAGAGTTCTGCAGCAGCGCTCGGCGCGGCGAGGTGAAGAGGATTGAAAAAGAGACTTGATGGAATAAGAGATAAATTACTTATAATTTTCGAAAAATTATCACTGTCAAATGCTTTAAAAAGCCGAATACTGCTCCATTTTCCATACAATTTCCATTTTCTGTCGCTACGGACATCACACCGTCTGTTTCGTTCAATAAAATGTTCTCCACAAAAGTAATAAAAAGTAATTTTAAATTTTTCTTGATTGTTTCTGTCATTCCCGATACCTACACACTGAAAAGGAATAATTTATTTTCCCATAAACAGAGGCTTTTGATGAAACAAAGGAATGTCTTTTTTATTCTGAATGCCCTTCTTAAAAATGTCAATCACCGAAACCTGGACTCTTTCGATCTAACTTCATTTTTCTATTGTGTGCATGCAGAAAACGCCACTGAGCCACTGACCTCCTTGGACGTAGATTAAACAGTTAATTTTTTCTGTGAAATGGGATCGCCAAACACTGAGAAAAATTTCATGATACCAATGGTGTTAAACTTTTCCCATGTTATTTGGTGTTAAATTTCCCATTGATCAAAAATCAGACTAACTTAGGCAGGCCTAATTTTCTTATTTTAAGGAGAAGCGGCAGCCAGCACAATGAATTACAAGGTTAACGAGACCGCAGTCATCAAACGGGTGAAGTTAGAAGCTTCCAAAGGACGCCCTGCCCTCCAGTATCGCATTCAGTTGATAGATGAACCTTTATTCAAGGAGGCATTGGCGTTCATGAATGAGCATTTTGTACTGAATAATAATTTGATGAAATCTCTAGGTAAGGATTCACTATATTCATATGTATATCTAAACAAGCCTCTTTATAGACTAAACATGTTTTAAAAAATGTCAAATTATGTATTAATTGAGGGGCTTGGAGGAAAAGGCGCGTAAGTGCAGTTTTTGCTATTTCGAGAAATACATGTTTGAAGTTTCGAAATTACATGGATCCTTATGGCGGAAAGAAAGTTAAAATCAACTTTTTGATGTTTAAAAATTGAAAGTTGGGTGCGAATTTTTCAGAGTATGCATTGCAACTAGTTTTACTTGAAATCGCAATAATATCTCATTTTTTTTCAAAATATGCACTTATGCGCCTTGTCCTCCAAGCCCCTCATTTTTAGCAGATTAGTGCATCTACTTTTTCGAGGGCCGTCCGCCGTCCCTTGATTATTCATTACGCACCTGAGTTCATAACTTCGAACGCATCAATTAGTATATTTCAACGTGAGAATTTTCATTTATAATTTCGAGTTATATTAACTTTTTTGTACGTCTGTGGAAGTAAATTTCTGGGTATTCTGAGCATCACACTAGCAAGTTTGGTGTTAAGAGGGCGGAAACGAACACTGATGGTGAAACTGCAGAAATGCATATCTCCGTTTGCGGCGTTGCAAACTACCCATCATACTTAACTAATTTTCTATATCACAAATTATAATAAATGTAATTTCTTGAAAACTTCCGTATTTTTTTTTATCTATATGAAGAATATTCTGTACAAATTTTAGGCGATGATGTCGGTTTGGTCTCCCTCTAAAGATAAAATAGGAGCGAAGTTTCTGCAACTCACGGAAAAAAAAGAATTGCTGATTCAACAATTCATTGCTAAAAACAGTGAGTGCAATGTTTCAACGCAGATTTTACGATAAAAAATGCTACTTTAACCACCCCCGTGGTTAAATTAGTTTACAATGTGGTTAAAGTAGCATTTTTTTGTTGTAAAATCTGCGTTGAAACATTGCACTTACTGTTTTTAGCAATGAATTGTTGAATCAGCAATTCTTTTTTTTCCGTATGATATACGCAATTTTGCAAATTCATCGTCGTCTAGTCCAGAAAAACTTCAATATTAGGAACAGAAAAGAAACTCCAAGAGGCATGTAGTAACTTAATTCCTGTGTAATTTTGGCTGCTGAATCCAAAAATTACCTTCTTTCCTCTTCATCGTGCACAGATTCTTCGGAAAATTGATTTTTCTCTGGAAAGACTCGATGTTTAGGGGAAATTCCGATTTTTTCGGGAAAAATCGAGATGGGACGGAGGTCATTTTCGGAACCAGCGCCAGAAATCTAGTCAGTATAAGACGATAAATGGACTGAGTTAAGCAGAAAGGAACCAACCCACATTTTGGAAAAAATTGAGTTATGAATGGTTTTGAACTCAACCACTACTCTACTTTCTATCGGCAAAAATTCAAAGTTTTTGTTGGAGCAAATTTTGCAGAAATTGAACTTGAAGTTTATCTTTTACATTGAGTCTTATGCAGGAGCCAAACTTTAAACCTCTTTTTCTCGGTTCGATCCCGATGTGGCTTGGTTCCTTTCTGTTTAACTCCGTCCAAATAGAAGGCAAATTCATTCACGTTAACTGGTGTAATTTTTTTATACAATAAGATGCGATCAATTCTGGTCTGCCAAATTTTTCAAAAAAATCAGGGTCAAATCATGGCAACTTAGATTCTGATCAGAAACAGCTAAAATAATTTATTTTTACCAAGCATGTGGGAACATACGACATCACGGGCTGTGTTGCTGATTCATTGTAAAATTATAAAATTGTCTTCGTTAGCTCCAGGTGTGGCGCCCACCGAGCCTATTGAAGACGATGACGAGGAACCAGGTCCATGGGAGATGGCCCTCTCTGAAGGTATCTCATTAGCCGCAATCTTAGAAGACGATCAAGGAACCACGGGTAGCATGATTGCTTGTTACATGTTGGGAATAGAGAGAAAAGGGGAAGTTTTTTCGTTGCCGGTAAGTTTATGAATGCAAATTAACATGCATAATGCCAATAATTCTTAGAGTAATTTACTGCTGCACTTTGCAGCTTTTTGTAAGAGAAACGAATGCATATTGGAGTGATTACCCCCTGAGGATAAATTCATTGTTAAAGATAAACCACTGTTGCGACAGTTTTTGTTCCTATCCTCGCATACAGGTACATTGATCCCAAAAAATAGGCCTCATTTGATCTGGAGTGTACGTCTCTCAATGAAAAACCCCCTTGCGCGCTTCTTACACTCCGGTGGCGTGGCGTGCTTTGCGATTTACCGATTGATCTGCCATTTAAACCTATGGAAAAGGATCGATTATTAGGGTGTTCGCAGCGAACACCCTAATAATCGATTCTTTACCACAGCTCAAATGGAGATACATCGATAGTTGATCATACACGCCTCGCCACTGTTACACTCCATTTTAGAACTATTCGCTGCAATTTTTTTGGACGGAGGTCATTTTCGAAGAATGTAAGTGAGACAAAAATTTAGGTTGACTTTGAGGAAGAGTTAGCTGAAAATATTTTCAGAAACTGAGGAAGACAAATTCCGATACATCGAAGAAACCTCTAATAACCAACGTTACGTCTTACTTTAGTTTATTTTCAGTAACTTCATCAGAGGAAAAAGTGACTTGATTCAAGCAGAAGTAAGCTCGAATCTACCGCCAAGAGAATTTCCTCATGAATCAATAAAGAAAATGGATTGCATTTTGCAATTAGGAACCGCTATCTCTGGCTCTCCCATAAAAGCACATATCGTCACCTTCCAGGCAAAGTATCACAAACGCCATGCGACGTTTAAAAATTTCCGCTGCCATTTTATTTCTTTACTGAGAAATTGTTGGTTGAATCTGTTTGGAAATTTCACTAAATTTTATCGGCAGTACAAAGAAAATTCAGTGAAATTTTCGGACAGCTTCGTTGAACAATTTCTCTGTAAAAAAATAAAATGGCGGCGGAAATTTTTAAACGTCGCATGGCGCTTGTGATACTTTGCCTGGAAGGTGACGATATCTGCATAGGGAAACCAATGACATGTATGTTGTTTCTAAAATGGGCCAGAAATAGTGGTTCCTTATTTCAAAACGTAATCCAAATAATGCTTGTTTACAGGAGAAAAGATGCTTACATACAGGGTGTCACACGAAAAACGAGCCACCTTGAATATCTGCCGAACGCGTCGGAATTTCGAAAAACGGTAAAAGACGTGTTCATTTATATCGAGGGGGACACCTTTTGGCGTATTTGACATTTTCCCAAACCGCGGGAGGGGCGCGGGGCGGGGGGTGCCCCACCCGTAAGTTGAACTTTTCAAATGGCACCCCTACTTTTTTATTTCAGAAATCAATATCACGCAAAAAAACAAGCCACCCTGTCCAAACCGAATGTAATTCGGACAATTTTTCAGTGACTGACAGAGGTTGAAACATTTTTTTCATGCTCTTTTCAAAAATTTCCCACGCCCAATGGAATTGCTGTATTAAACCAAACTCTCCGCCAAAAAAATTCTTAAACATTGTACTTTCGATAGAAAAATCAAAAAAATCTGCTGCACTCGAAATCTGGAGCACGCGGAGCCCTTCTTTGTGACGTTAAAATTCGTTTTACCGAACATTTCCGAGGGGCGCTCATCGGGAGGNGGGGGGGGGGAGGGATGTCAACGACTTGAGCCGGACCTTGATACTTCTGAGGACGCTATTTTTCCGTGCGTTGTTTTTCTACTCAACTGCTTCTTCATGGATACGGTTTCTTATGCTTCAGAAAAAATAGTAATAATTCTTGTCTAAGACTTACTACTCCCTCCCGATGAGCGCCCCTCGGAAATGTTCGGTAAAACGAATTTTAACGTCACAAAGAAGGGCTCCGCGTGCTCCAGATTTCGAGTGCAGCAGATTTTTTTGATTTTTCTATCGAAAGTACAATGTTTAAGAATTTTTTTGGCGGAGAGTTTGGTTTGATACAGCAATTCCATTGGGCGTGGGAAATTTTTGAAAAGAGCATGAAAAAAATGTTTCAACCTCTGTCAGTCACTGAAAAATTGTCCGAATTACATTCGGTTTGGACAGGGTGGCTTGTTTTTTTGCGTGATATTGATTTCTGAAATAAAAAAGTAGGGGTGCCATTTGAAAAGTTCAACTTACGGGTGGGGCACCCCCCGCCCCGCGCCCCTCCCGCGGTTTGGGAAAATGTCAAATACGCCAAAAGGTGTCCCCCTCGATATAAATGAACACGTCTTTTACCGTTTTTCGAAATTCCGACGCGTTCGGCAGATATTCAAGGTGGCTCGTTTTTCGTGAGACACCCTGTATAAAGAAAAGTCACTTACATCTAACAGAAACCCGCTTTCACTTAGCTACTTTCTTCTTGATTTAAAATAAAATCTTCTTGACTGCATACTCAAGAATGTTTCTGCTTAGATTGAGTTACTTTTTTCTCTAATGACATACAAAAATTATGCTAAACGTCATTAAATACTTACTGAGTTTTTGGACTACCGCTTTCTTTTTGTGCCGGAGTATCTTGATTTATTTTGCGAGGGAAACTCCGTACTCTTAAAGGATGCCTGTCATCCTTAACATGCTGGAGCGCCTTAAATTTCGTATGATACTGTGCAACACCTCTGTTGTGAAATAGTTGCATAGGGCGCCGTGGCACGCTGCGGCTCGGCGCGGCCGGCGGGAGGGCGGTCAACGCGCACCGTGCATTGGCGCCTACAAACCTAAGTGGATACTTCAAGCATTGCGTAATGCGTGAAGTATCCACTTAGGTTTGTAGGCCGTTCCACTCTGTGTTCGGCTCTAATATTTAAACTCGCGGAGTTAGCATTTTTCAACTCGAGATTTTGAAATTTGTGCACACTCTGCGTGGATTATTCTCATTTAAATCGATGGAAAAAAATATGTAAAGGAAGATATAATGTACATGTATTTTGTAAATATTCAGGTGGTTCTGTGTCAAATGACTTACAAAGCATTTCAATATTTTCTTTTATATTTTGTGCTTTTACTGAAACCAACAATAATCAGATGAAGTGATTTTATGGTTCGTGTAGGTTTATAATTCAAATTCTGAAGAGAAATTTCTTTTTAAAAAATCAGCTACTGTTCAACGGAAAAATTGCGATATTTTGAATCAAGTTGCGATGTATATGTATGTACAATTTTTCGCCTATAAAATCGCTAAGATCATCAACATTTGAGCGATTATCCTCGATCTTATCGCTATTTTATTTCAATCGAAAGTTCGTCTCAATGTATCACGATTTTTTGTTCCAATTCATTGCAATTGATCACCTTCGATAAAATTGCGATGTTATTGCAAATTAATACGATGTATCGGATTTTTTTATCCGATAATATTACAATAAATCGACGTCTATAGAATTGCGACATATTCTCCGCTTAAATCGCAACTTATCTCGATCACTACTACTCAGAGGCGGACCCAGCTATTTGGCAACACTGGATTCCCTCCATTTAAACCTACGTTAAATAATCGATTCTTCTAGGAGAACTTGACCCCTCAAGAATCGATATATTCCCATTGGTTTAACTGGAAGAAAACAATGTTGCCAATTCGCTGGATCTGCTAATGCTGCTACTTGGGTTACATACAAACTTCACACTTAGACTTTTTATTTTTCGGTCCCCAGGAGGGGCAAGATATACCTGAGTTTTTTAGATACATCGGGAAGACCCTGGAAGATGTGGAGGCGAAAGCAGACGTATACACGATATTCAACTGCACCTCTTACGTCGCTGGATACGGGTTGGCAACCGCACCGAAGTATCAACGGCGGGGGATCGGCGAGGAGATGCTCCGGGCGCGTGCCCAGGTTTGCAGGATCACCGACACCCCGGTCAGTGCCGCCGTCTTCACCGGTGAGGCCTCCCAGAAGCTTGCCAAGAAATGCGGCTACCAGACGCTCGCCGAGCTGGATCTCACCACGTACCGCATCGACGGCAAACTCATCTACCCGAACCCGGAATGGCCCGTCATCAAGTGGATGGCCATTCGCTACTTCTGATGACTCGCTTCTCATATTGTAGGGGACGTCCATAAATTACGTCACCCATTTTTTTCAATTTTTCGACCCCCCCTCCCCCTCCCTTCCCCTCTCTCCCCTCCCCCTCCCCCCCCCTCCCCATCCCCTCCGATCTCTATTCATGTGATCGTCGGAAAGTTGACGTTCCTCTTAACGCTGGTACGCATAATGCGAAAAGTTTTCTGCGGAGACTGGTCCGTCCGTTCGAGAGTTGCCAAATTTTCTTCGATAAAATGTTTATTTTTGACGAAAATTTGTCGCCTACCTGACATAAGGGCGTAACTACACTCTGCGATGAACCCTGTCTTCCATACATCTCAATGCTTTTCCGGGCTCATCTCAATGTGTAGTTACGCCCTTATGTCAGCCAAGCGACGAATTATGGATGTTTTTCCTTGAAATTTTCAGAAGCTTTAGGTGAAATTGCAAACAAAATCCTCTGAAAAATTGGGAGAAAAATATTCATAAAATTACCAGGAAATTTGTGTTTTATCAAAGGAAATTTGGCAACGCCTGAAGGCTCATACGGCGTTTTTCCTTAGCACGGCAGTATAGTCGAGAAGAAAGCTCTTCAAATCGTCAACTAGTATACTGCTGGACACAAGTACTCCACAATTGAACCGATTATATTCCAAATCACGCAAGTGCCAAAATTGCGAAAGAAAGAAAGAAAGAAATACGAGAAAAACAGGGTAAAACCGTTTCAGTCACTTTGTTGAAAAACTTCGAATTCCAAAAAATGTACGTTTTTTAGAGGGCTATTTTGAAATCAGACATGATTGATTATAATATCAGAAAAAACGAAGAAAGAGGAATTACCCTCTACCAATAAAATAGAGATTGGCGCTTATGTGATTTGGAAAATAATCGGTTCCATTAATTTAATTAAATTTATGCTCAATATTTACATTATCAATTTTTACAAGTGGCTCACCGACATACCTGTTGCGTAGTAAAAAAAAACGAAGCTCGGAAAAAATGAACGAAGAAAGAGAAAAAAAAACGAGGAGAACGGGTAAAAATCTAAGTCCGGAAAATAAAATGTATTTTTAGAAACTTGTAGTAGGAATCTCTAAATGTTTCTGGATATTTACCAATAGAAAATTTTATGAAAACTACTCGCGCAGAAAGCGTGCTCAGATAAGTACATAGGCAAAGAGGAAGTTCGGGATCATCGGAACGGAGAAGCTCTACTCCCCATTCATTGCCTCAATCAGTGCACCATCTTCGCTGTGTCACTGAACCTCGCAGTAGCCAGTAGCATCGTGACGATCCTCTACTATGTCATTAACCGGGTCACCGGATCCCCTTGACCGATCCTTTACTACGTCAGTCGAGTTTCGACTGCCTAAGTCAGTACTCCTCCAGTTCTGGTGCACGACGAAAAAAGTATCCAGCCTCTGTCAAAAGTAAGCCTCGTTTCATAGATATTTTCTATCTGCGTTCTATGTTCAAAATTCCTAATTCTAACAAGCATGACATTTTTTTCTGGCTTTTGTAAAAAGTGAGCTAGCATTTTAAGAATTTTTCTCCGAGTCAAATTAGGACGATTGAGAGATTTTGAGCTGACCGATGGCAATATGTCATGGTAGTAAAGTATGCACTTTCAGTTTTGCGATAAGATTTGATACTTTTAAAATATAAATCAGACCTAATTTTCTGAATGAGCGTATACGCGTCATTGTTTCTATACCGAAATTAAAAGCGGAAAAACAAACGAGACCTAGTTTATTATCCTCCATAATTGTTCTAGCATATTAGTTCCTATGTCGGAGTTTGAGGAAACCCATTAAACAGAAAAATAATATCTGTCGAGAGTTGTAGGTAAAAAGTTGTAGGGCAAGTAAAATTGTATCAATAAAGTATAAGATAGCTATCGCCAGAGCATTTTCATATCCTAAATATGTAAATATATGAAAAAGAAAGAACAATAATGTTCTTCGACCCAGCGTTTTAATCTTCCATTACAAACTTAAAAGATAAGCCCATAAAATTATTTAGTTAATTGCATAGAGTACATAGAGTCGTAATGTAAGTGGGTGAGCTGGCGCCACTTTTAAGCATTTTCCAGGTCCCAAATTCCGAGCCTCCTGCGTGACGCCGCGCCGGGTCACTTTTTTGATACATGATCGATTGTTTGCGATACACGGGTACCCGGCCATCCGATGTAAACAAAAGAGAATAGGAATCACCACGTATTCCGCACCGCCATTTTGGATCGAACATGTATCGAAAAAGTGACCCGAACTCGGCGCACACCGGGCTCGGAACTCGTCGAGCAGAACATGGCGCCAGCTCTCCCATTTACATTACGACTCTACGTACTCTATGGTTAATTGACAAGATCGCACAGGGAAGTGAGAATCTAAAGGGATAAGAGTATAAACATCCATGTTCATCGTTGGAAATGTACTTTGCTTTCACTCAACATTGTGCAGCGGTTCGATTGCCGATTCGATTATCGAATGATCCTGATCGAGAAATCCCTATCTTAGCAATGCTTTCAGTCGATCATGGTCGTTCGATATCAATTCAAGAACCGAGCCGCTGGACTGCGAAATAACCATCAAGCGGATTGGAGGATAGACCTTCAACCAACTTGAGACAATGAGACATGTTTTGCCTTAAGGTGATTCGATGGACGCCATATTTTGTGCCAGAACGGCCGCAGCATGCGATTTATCGCATCAATTGTTTCCATTTATTCAGCTACTCGTCATTTTTCTCCAATTTTGAGATCGCAACTCTGTTGTCAGGAGACTGAAGCACTCACTTACCAATTTTAACAAACAAATTCAACGTAATAAAGGCGTGGATTTTTTAGAGAGAAAATATCGCATTCGAGTGCAGTTTCGATATCAGTATCGAATGCGATGTTTTCTCTCTAAAAAAAAACCACGCCTTTATTACGTTGAATTTCTTTGTTAAAATTGGTTAGCGAGTGCTTCAGTCTCCTGACAACAGATTTGCGATCTCAAAATTGGAGAAAAATGACGAGTAGCTGAAAAAATGGAACCAATTGATGCGATATATCGCATGCCGTTCTGACACAAAATATGGCGTCCATCGAATCACCTTAAGAGCCTCGGGCACTTTGAAGTATTTACCTATAAAAAAGTAAAAATTAACAGTTGAGATCATCGTTTACTGTACAGGTTAGTAACAGGATAGTCACAGTCTTTATAATGAGGCGTACGGATTATTTCAGCGCGCGGAAACATGAACGACACAGAACATTTATAAATTTTTCAAGCAAACAGTTTAGCCTTCATTTTAAGGGATACACAGAAGTAGGCAGAACGTTAAAATGAGCAATGCACTAACTCAAGAAGTCGTCGAAAGTGTTTTCCAAACAAAGGCCTACTTGGTATCATTCTGAAAGTGAAAGAAACTAGGAACTTTTTTATCAGTAATCTTCTCTGTAGCATCATATAATTGATAAAAAACAAAGGAAAAGAAAGTAATAGTCTTTCAGCATATTAATGTCATTACACCATGAATTAAATATTGAATTTTTTCGTTCCAACTCGATTTTCAGCAAATCAGAGAAACTATGATTTCTATAGAGCCTCCAATGAACGTGAATAACTATAGAGATAATATAGGTAGGTGACAATGGTGATATAGTGATAACGAAACATTTCACTTTGAGAGAAGGGGTTTTTAGAATTTTCATTGCTTGAACATTAAGACGTAACGAAGTCTCCTAGGGTAATTCAAGGCGTCCATGAGATACTTTTAACTTGGTACACGAGAAGAAGATAAAAGTAGTGGCAATTAACCGTATTTTGGTTTCGGGTAAAATTGTTCACCTTCTCCAAAATTCATTGGCGGATCCAGCAAATTGGCATAACATTGTTTTTTCTCCAATTGAACGGCGGCGTCGAAGTGTCAAACATAAAAGCATGACTTATTGCCAAAAACGCCCATGTGAGGAAGCGACCCACTTTAATTGGACGTATTTATGCTAAAAGGAACTATGTGCATAGGGCCATAGGGTATGCGTGAGACACAGTTCCTTTCGACATTAATACGTTCTATTTGACCGCAGTTTGCAATTTGGAACTATAAATTCTGGCCCGGTTTAAAAACAACGTATGTGCCATCAGTTTCCCTATGCACAAAAGTGTTTTTTCGGGTGAGCCAGAATTTTTAGTTCCAAATGGACCACTAGACAAGGTTCGAATTTAAGCCTTGTGATACATGTTTCTTTACCAAAATTTCACGTAAGACACGATGCGCACAACGAAAATTACCGAAATCAACTTCTTACGAAGATATTTAATGATTCTTGATGCGTGAATTTAAACCTCTCGCCTTGAAAACTCAATGCTCTACGTGACTCACATCGCGCGCTACACGTTATCATGACAGTCTCTGCGATATAAAAATCTGGCAACCTCAATCTTGACGCTTTGGCTCAGCTGTAGCAAATTGCTTATAGTTTGAACAACTCATGGTGGAAAATGAACATTGCTCGATTGAGAAGCTTGCTGAAACCGTTGCAGTGCACGATTTGACTCACGTAGAGCTTTGAGTTTCTTGTGAGCGGGCAGTTCAAATTCCTCGTAGCCTATGTGAAATAAAAACGTTAATATCTCCGTTAGGAGTTGGTTTCAGTAATTTTCGTTGTGCGCGTCGTGCTTCACGTGAAATTTTGGTGAAGAAACATGAATGAGGATGCTGAAATTCGTACCTTGTCTAGNATATATCGCATGCCGTTCTGACACAAAATATGGCGTCCATCGAATCACCTTAAGAGCCTCGGGTACTTTGAAGTATTTACTTATAAAAAAGTAAAAATTAACAGTTGAGATCATTGTTTACTATGCAAGTTAGTAACAGGATAGTCACAGTCTTTATAATGAGGCGTACGGATTATTTCAGCGCGCGGAAACATGAACGACACAGAACATTTATGAATTTTTCAAGCAAACAGTTTTAGCCTTAATTTAAAGGGATGGACAGAAAAAGGCAGAACGTTAAAATGCGCAATGCACTAACTTAAGAAGTCGTCGAAAGTGTTTTCCAAACAAAGGCCTACTTGGTATCATTCTGAAAGTGAAAGAAACTAGGAACTTTTTT